TGTTTTATTGTTTATTTTTTGCATGTGTTTATGGATTTGGCTGAAGTTTCATTGTGGCAGCAAAAATATTAAAGGTCCTATATTACTCTAAATTGACATACCTGGAGTTGTGTTTTGTATCATTCACACATTTGAGTAATCTTTTATTATTCATCTGTATACTAAATTGTGCTATCCAATTCACAATTTTGGCCTCATCTTATTATTTATTTTGTTTAAGGGGCCCATATTACACTATTTTCTGATGTACGCTATTTTATAATGTTGTTTCTTCATCAAAAACAGACCTGAAGTTATGTTTTGCTTCATTCACACGTTTAACACACAAATCCTGCATATTAAGGGTTCTTCTCTCAAACAGAAGACTCCACCTTGTGATATCATGTAGAAGTTTTCAAGTCAATAGCTACCTTTTACCTTTTGTTTAGTAGAGATTGGCAGTTGGATTTTAAAAACACAGTGGGGCACTTTCTGTATTACCACGTTTTCAGTTTCAGTGAAGAACCCTTAATATGCAGGATTTGTGTGTTAAACATGTATGGATGAAACAAAACATAACTTCAGGTTTGTTTTTGATGAGGAAACAACATCAGCCTACATCAGAAAATAGTGTAATATGGGTCCCTGAAACAAAATAAATAAAAAGCCAAAATCTTATCTCATGTCTTGTTCTTGTGGACCTTATCTTGTGTCTTGTCTCATCTCGTTGAAATGTTATAACTTCTTTTTGCAGTCCTTACATAAACTGAAGGTGCCGGCATGTTGAATTTGCTGCTGTGTGCTTATTGTCCTGTTCTTTCACATGGAGCTGAGAGGGGCCAGTGCAGAATGTACCAGCTCCTTCTGGACACTACATTTACATGAGGTAGTGGAATTTTTTGATCTGTTATAAAATTGTATATATAAAAAGAAATTAGGACAGTTTTTCCTTAAAAAGGAAACACTTTAAAGGTCCTATTACATCAAATTAACTCCCTTGAGCTTCAATCATTACCTCCTAAAAACATACCCGGATTTGTGTTTTGTTTCATGCACACACTTGAGTAACCCTAAATTATTAATCTGCACATCCTTAAAGCTCAAAATGCTCTGTTCCACCTTGTAATGTCATGTAGTTTCAAGTTAACAGCTACATTATACCTTTTGTTCAGTAGAGTTTCCAGGGCTTAAATCATCCAAATTATTCTAGTGAAAGTGTATAGAGATTAAAAACACAGTGGAGCACTTTCTGTATTAACATATCACTACATCACAAGGTTGTTTGAGAGAAGAACTTAACCTATATATAAATAACCAGTTTTTGTGTGTTAAATATGTGCGAATGAAAGAAAAAACAACTTCTGGTATGCTTTTGATGAGGAAACAACATCATAACATAGACCAGAAAAAAACACAAGCCCTTTAACTATTTACAGAGTTGTTACTTTCCCTTTCCCCAAACTCTCTGCTCCCTGGTTCAGTCACATCATAGTCACACTTGTCTCTCATCTTTATGGCATTTAAAACCATTAAAGACAAATTTAATGCTGAGACTCAATGTGATTGTAGCTAATGAAGTATGCAAAAGTCTGAATGCTGCATTCTGGGTCATGTGCAGCTCAGACCTGTGTCTACTTCACAATGAACTAGACTTGAAGTTCACACTTAAAGGTCCAATGTTACGAAAAATTCATTCTTGCAAACTTCAAGTCATGTTAGAATGACCTCATCCAAAACATACCTGGAGTTGTGTTTTGTTTCATTCACACCTGCTTGAATAACCCTTTATTATCAGTATGTCTATCTTCAAAGCTCAAAATGCTCTGTGATGTCCTGAAGCAGTAGTTTTCAACAGCTTAACAGCTACATTTTATCTTTTGTCTAGTGTAGAGTGCTGATTCCACAAGATAAAATCATCCAAATGACTCTAATGAAGGTGTATGGAGTTTAAAAACAAGGTGAAGAGTGTTTTCTGTTTGAGAGAAGAACTCATCTGAAATATGCATTATAACATAGATCCGAAAATAGTGTCATATGGGCCTGGGATCCAAAAAAACACTTCTTCAATACAGTATGAACATATAAGTCTGGTCACTGGTGAGATAGGTGTGATTGACAGGTGGACTGACCAGTCAGGCACCCACATGGTCCAAATACAGAGAGATATCTTTCTGGAGATAACATATGAGAGGACAGGGTGGCTGGGTGAGAAGATGGAGTGAGGAGCTCAGTCACACGGGAGGAGCTCGGAGTAGAGCCGCTGCTCCTCCACGTCGAGAGGAGCCAGCTGAGGTAGCTTCAGATGCCTCCTGGGCGCCTGTTCTGAACATGTCTCACCGAAAGGAGGCCCCAGGGAAGATCCAGGACACGCTGGTGGGACTATGTCCCTCAGCTGGCCAGGGAACGCCTTGAAATCCCTCCGGAAGAGCTGGAGGAAGTGTCCGGGGTGAAGGAAGTCTGGGAGTCTCTGCTTAGACTGCTGCAACTGCGACCCGGCGCCGGATAAGTGGAAGAAAATGAACGGATGGACATGACAAGTTTTCATGTTTTTCATAATTATAACTTAATCTGTTATTGTATCTTAAAATTGTTTGACATTAGTTCAGTGGCAGTTTGTAGGGAAAAAAGTACACAACAATCTAAATCTATAAAGGAAGGTGCATTATGTAACTGCCGCTGATTGTCTCTATGGAAATATTATTGCTTTTCCTTGAATGTTCCAGAACATGGTGGAACATTCACATCTGTGGAGATGAAACCCCTCTATCAAAGATACATGTCATCCAAGGTAAAACACCAGTAAGTGAATAACAACTTCCTCCAGTTCCTCCAGTGGGAAGAGCTGGTGGAAGTGGAGCTGAAGTTCCGTCATTGTGTTATCTTATCTTATAAATGTAATAAATATATTTGTCACACACAAAAAAACACACTGGCCAAAAGTGTATCCAAAATCTTAGAAGTGCTGGGACTTAAACCCATATGATCACAATACTTAGATAACTATGAATAATGAATGGACAGACTTCTGAGAAAACAGTAGACGCACTTCAAGATAACGACAGTGAACACAAAGGACCTGCTCTCACAGCATCACTGTATCAGGACTCCCCCCAAAACAAGAATAATGCAGATTTACAATGTGATTATGCCTCTTCTGTGAATAAAGTAACTGAGAAAAGGAAGGGAAATTTGAGGAAATACTGTCGCATGAAAACTAATGACAGTTTCGGTGAAATAGGGGCGTAGAGAAGAGGATGTAACTTGTGATAAAGTTACATCAGTGTGATTTGAAAAGCAAAGAATTTCACTGATTCACATGTAGGGCTGGGTATCATTAAAAAGTTGCCAATACGATACAAACCTTGATACATAGGCCACAATACACTGCGCTTTTAGTTCGATATGATATATTTCAAATTGATTCGATACGGTTCCAAAAAAAACAAAATGTCAAAATGAAAGCTGTGATTTGTTAAACCACTTCGTGAGCAAAGTTCATATGAAACACACCCATTTTAATCATCAAAACAATGAAAATTTCAAATGTGTTGCATAAATGAGTCACGTTGTAACAAAATTATTTAGAAAATATACCAAAAAATACTCTTGGTGATGTATCAATACAGCAGTCCCTGATATCAATACTGTATCATCACATTAAACAATACGATATATTGATATTTTGATATTTTTAAACAACCCATTCACATGCTTTTTGCAGTATCTGCTCGATCATAACTATTCTACACTAGTGTAAAAAGTTCTATATTGTGCAAAATTATTTCTTGTGAGCTGTTGTTATCTCCTCAAAAACAAAAGTAGACTTTAGTTCTGTTTCGCGGACACGTCTGAGTAACCCTTTTATTATAAGTTTGTCTACATCTCCAAAGCTCAAAATGCTCTGTTCCACCTTGTGATGTCATGTAGTGGCAGTGTTCCAAGTTACCAGCTACGTTTCACCTTTAGTTCAGTAGAGATTGGCGAATCCAGAGCTGAAATTATCCAAGTGATTCTAGCATATGGAGGTATATGGAGTTTTAAAACACAGTAGAGCACTTCTTGTATTACCACATGACATCACAAGGTGGAAGGTTTGTGTGTTTAACATGTGTGAATGCATAATATAAGCCCTTTAACATCAATTAGTATCTGAGTATTATTATTATTATTTTTTGTAACACTACAGTAGAGTTCAATATGTGGCCAGGACTACCCTAAAATTAAATTCCAAATCATAGAGAAACTTACCTAGTTAAATAAAGATAAATAAATAAACGATACATCAAGAGTAACCCTGCACTTCTATTCTGGCTTTAACTCGAAAGTTCCGTAGTGAGGCATTAAACTTATCTTTTATTTGTTCAATTTCAGTTGCATTTTTAAAGCTCAAAACCACATTAAAAAACATGGGCTTTTACACTGTGCAAACCTGCCTCACTTGGCCTGGTGGTGTCACTTGCTTGTGTCCATTTAATGCCATAGTGTGGAACATTTCAGGCAATTACATCTCAATGGAGACAAAGATAAATAAACGATACATCAAGAGTGATCCTGCACTTCTGTTTCAGCTTTACCTCAAATGTTCCATAGTGTGGCATTAAACTTATCTTGCATGTCTTTCAAAGTGGTTTTGAGCTTCAAAAATACAACTGAAATTGAACAAATGCATTTTTACACTGTGCAAACCTGCCTCTCCACATGTCTTATTATGTAACTTGGCCTGGTGGTGTAATTTGCTTGTCTCCGTTTAATGCTATAGTGTGTAACATTTGAGGTAATGCAATAATATCTCTTTAGAAACACTTAGCAGAACCCTCTCCAGAAGTTACACAGTGCAAAAATATGCTATAATGTGGAAATGCCAGTGCTTGACTCTTCTGCTCTCTAGTGGATGATTTCAGGTACTGCATGTTGCTCAGAATCTTAAATATAATTGCTTTGTGAAACCATAGTTAAGAAAACAGGATTCACAAAGTAGGAAACTTCTTTGCTGAATAGTACAGACTTGAAACACACCAGAGTCGAATCCATAAACATTTATTTAAGCATCACATAAACAAGTCCACCACCAATAATTACTTACTACAATATATGGTTTATATGTCTAGAGGTGGGTACAGTAGCAAAAATGGTACTCAAGTAAGAGTAGTGTTACTTCAAAATAATATTATTCAAGTAGAAGCACGAAATAGTGGTCCAAGAAGTTACATTATACTACTACTCAAGTGTCTGAGTTCGATTCATAATTCTCTAGTATTTTCGAAGAATGAGAAAAAGTAAAAAAGAGAACACCAATAATGTCAAATTGTCAGCTTTTGCGCAACTAAAACTTTCACTCAATTAAAGGTACACTGTGTAACTTTTTCATTGGGAAAGTCACTTGCTCGTTTCTATGGTGATGTCAGATCTGAGCTGTAACTTGGTCTGGTTTTCCATGATGATAGAAAGGTTTAATGCAATGTTGTGAAACCAGAAAAAGCAATTACAAATCTACGGAGAAAAGCATTTGATGGACACTCCACCAGAAAAGTTACACAGTGCAGCTTTAAATAAAATTGGCCTATAGAATGCTGTGATGCCATCTGAAACCTAAAATATAATGCTATTGAATATATCAGTTTTGCATTTTAGTTTCGCTCTGTGGAGGTTTAGTTAAAACATTACAGCGTTTTACATGGCTAACGTAACTGTTGCGAGTCCAAAATACTTTATCGCAAGTTTCACACGGTCTCATCACTTCCTTAGTGTGCAGGTTCTTGTGATCTTGATAAACTCTGATATTTTTAAAAACTTTTCCGCACTGTTCACACGTGTGCTTCTGCTCGGTGTGGGTCAGGGCGTGCTGTTTCAGGAGACTCGGGGACAGACAGACTCTGGGACATTCCTTACACTGGTGGACTCTCCTCCCTGTGTGGACGCGCAGGTGGAGTTTCAGTTTCAAAAAGGCCGAAAATGTCTTCCCACATTTGACACAAGCAAAGAGTTTAGTCTCAGACACGGGTTTCACAGGGTTTTCCTCAGCAGCGCCTCCGTCTGATGTCGTATTTATCTGGAAAAACAAAGCAAACTTGTATTTTCTGTTGCAATAAATTGGTATTGTGACATGCCAAATGCCTAAAAATTAGGGATGTAATGATATTTAAATCTCTCGAAACGGTATTTTCACGAGACGGTATGATATTTATTGCGATATTTTGTAGATGTTAACAAAATTGTGAAACTTTTTCCTTTTAAAATGCCTTGACATGACTTTTGCTCTGCCATAAACCAAAAAATTAAGACTTAAACCTGCTTAAAAATTATGATTCTTCTTATTATTTTTATTACTTTTCATGTATTCTGCACTGTAATGGAGCAAAGGATCATGGTATATGTAGTTCACTCAGTTTTTTTTAGCTACTGCTGCACCAAAACAATGAATTTAAGCAAAGAGACTTGCAATTTGATATATTGTGTCGGTCCACGGTATTATTGTGAGAATTTAGATGATACGATAACGATATTTCAATTATTGTTACATCCCTTCTATAAATTATGAAGTATCATTTAGTCTTGACTTATTTATTATAAATTTGACGTTATTGTTATTTATTCACACGTACCTCGGTTGTAGTGATGAGGTTGCTTGTGTGGCGCAGCATGTGATTCCTGAGCCCAGAGTCGGACCTGTACATTTTCCCACAGACCGCACACACGCAGCTCTCCTCCGGTTTAGCGTGAACAAACCTCCGGTGGTTAGATCGCGTCTGTGGAGTAGAGAACCCCTTCCCACACAGCTCGCAGACGTACGGCCGATCTCCAGAGTGTGAGTTTTGGTGCGATTTGAGAAGGTAACTCAACCGAAAGCATTTACCACACTCCTCACATTTGAAAGGCTTCTCTCCAGTGTGAAGTCGCTCGTGACGGATCATATGGGACGGTTTCAGGAACACTTTTCCACAGAATTTGCAGATGTTTGGTTTTCGGTGAATGCGATCGTGGACTCTGAGTTTTTTGGGGTCAGTAAATTCTTTTCCGCATTTGTGACAGGTGAGGTCCGTCTCCTCCTCTTTCTTGACCAATGCTGCGCTCTTTTCCTGCAAAACAAATAAAACAGGACAAGTCAAGATCTTTAAAGTGACAGGTTAGACTACTCATTTTACTAAAACACATTAAAGATCTTTATAATTCAGATTTTTGCAAAAAAAACATTCACATTTGTTTTCCCCAATTTCACCATTTTTAACTTTTACTTCTTAGTTGGAAATATACAAGGCAATTCCATAACTGTTACCTATCAAAACTCCTCTAATGTAAACAGAAATAATTATCTGACAAATACAAATATAAGAAAAAAAACCTTTATTTTGTTGTATTCATGATTAAAGTATCAGGAAAAAATGTGTTTCTTACAAACTGTACCTAACTTTTGGATAAAATTCTCCAATTCTCTCTAACATGATGCCATTTTGAACTCATACCTTGAATGTTTCTTCACAAATTGCTTCTTGATTGAGGCAAAAAACTATAATTTATATTTACAATAGTAATAATTAGGAGTGTGCAAAAATATTGAAATATCGATATATCATATCGCCTAATGTGATGATACAGTATCGATATCGTGGGCTGCTGTATTGATTTATCACCAAGAGTACTTTTTGGTATATTTTACTCAACTATTTTGTTACAGTGCAACAATTTTGTTGCTTGTTTGGAGGAAAGAAACTCATTTATGCAATGTTTTATATTAACTTTGCACAAGAAGTAGTTTAACAAAGACTTTTAATACCACAGCCAGATTTTAGCCTTTATTTTTATTTAACTGTATAGAATCCAATTGAAATATATCGTATCGAATCAAAAGTGCACTGAATCGAGATATGAATCGTATCGGCAATTTCTTAATGATACCCAGCCCTAGTTATAATCCCACCAAATTAAGTCAAAAAGAGAGAATCATAAAAACCTGTCATATGCCATTTTGTAAGGTTGTCAAAAGTTTTGAAAATCAGATACTAACTGACACTAAAACTATTATTGAAACAACACAAATTTTTGCAAGTATTGATACAGAGAAAGATCACATTCGCAGAACTGAAACAAACCTTAGCTGTGGAATGATCTTAGATGTATCAAAACAATAAGAGCACATAGACTATTATACGCCCACTATGGAACCTGCCTGTACGACTGAGGCATTACACAGATATAAAGCCACATGGTAATAAAAAAGAAAGTACTATTATTTCATTTTAAAATGATTTTGCCTAAATAAAGAGTCTTTTTATTATTGTTGCAGTATTGGAATCGGTATCGTGTATCGAGTCTATTCTTTAGTGTTGAAATCAAGTTTGAAATGTTAGTATCGTGGCAGCACACTACTATTTTGTTTGTAAACATACCTTTAAAGCCTCCAGTTGTTGATGCTTTTTTAATGCTGTTTTACTTTTGTATGTCTTTCCGCAGTTTTTACACACGTTCGGCCTCGCGTCTGTGTGGACGATCTGGTGAACTCTCAGATTAGACGCGTGGGTGAAAGTGCTTCCACAGGTATCGCAGGTGTACGGCTTCTCCCCTGTGTGGACCCTCTCATGTTCTCGAAGCTTAAACTTAGCAAGAAACAGCTTCCCACAAAAGGTACAGGAGTGGATCTTCCTCCCAGCATGAATGCGCTGGTGTATCTGAAGGTTTGTGATGGATGTCAATGCCTCTCCACAGGTTTCGCAGGTGAATGCCGCCCCCTGGTGTTCATTCGAATTACTGCTTCCTGGAGTGTAGGAGGAGATGGGAGTCGAGCAGTCTTCCTCTTTCACTGTGACGTTGAACACTTTTGTTTTATCATCCTGGAAAGAGAAAAAAAAAACATTAAGCAGTGCACTAGAAACAAAAACTTTACTAAAATAGCAAACGAAACATAAAAAATTAAGAAATGTGTTCACCAAATATAAGGGCATAATGATAGGATATGTTAAACTACACGTCACTAAAACATAGTTAACATATTTATATTTATATCACAAAATCTGTCAATCAGTGTTATTTGCCCTAAATGACTCCCTTCATCACTATGCATTCCTTTTCAGAAACTAAAAGACAAAATTGCTTTACAGTGTATTATTAGTACACTCCATACTCTGTGGTGGTAAGTAACTATTGTAGTTAGGGGTGTGCAAAAATATTGAAATATTGATATATCGTATTGTTTAATGTTGAGATATCACCAAGAGTATTTTTTGGTATATTCTACTAAATTATTTTATTACAGCGCTACAGTTTTGTTGCTTGTTCAGAGGTAGGAAGGAATATTTTCACTGTTTTGATGATTAAAATGGCTGTGTTTCATATGAACTTTGCACAGGTAATTGTTTAACTAAGACTTTCAGTATCACAGCCATGATTTAGTCTTTATTTTTTATTGAACTGTATCGAATCGTTTTGAAACATACTGCATTGAATCGTATCGAATTGTAAGCTAAGAGATATGTGTTGTATCATGGTTAATGTATTGAGGTATGTATCGTACTGGCAACTTCTGAATGATACCCAGCCCTAATTGCAGCCACATCTGCCCTGGGGAAGACTGACAGAAGCAAGGCTGCCAATCTGTGCCATGGGCCTCTCCAACCACTACCAACATTCACTCACACATCACATTCATTATACGCAATCAAGTGGGTACTTAAGGACACGACAACAGTTTCCATTAGGGCCACTGCTGCCCCACTGTGACACCTGGTATTCCCATCTCGAACTCCCATCCACGTACTAACCAGGTCCAGTGTTTCTTAGCTTCAAATAATAAACTTACTTAGACTTAGACAAATTTTATTGACCCTCAAGGGAAATTATTTGGACACAGTAGCTCACACATCACAATACAATATAATAACAAAGAGTAAAAAATATAAATGGTAATAATACATTCAAAATAAGTAGCAAAAACTGCAAGAGAGCTAAGAGGCACAATTATAAAACTGCATAACTGTACAAGTAAAAATAAAATATAAAAATATAGTAACACAAACACATATGTCTGCTATTTTATGACCAGGCCATTGAGAGTATTGAATGTTTTCTATCAGTGTTTTTGTCACTAACCTCAGTTGTTGCCCCAGTTTGCACTTGTTTGGATTTCTTATTCTTGAAGTGCACGTTGTGATGATTCCGAACTTTAGCTGGACTTGGGAACAGCTTCCCACAGTATTCACAGGCGTGTAGTTTCCTCCCGGAGTGAAGGAGTCGATGTGATTTTAGAGACAAACCATCGAGAAACACCTCTCCACATGTCTCACAGTTGAATGGGAGGGAGGTTATGGTCTGTTTTTTGGCCATTTTAGATCTAGAATACAAACAATAGAACATAAATAAAAGTTAGTTAAAGGTTGTATGGAGGATTTTTTTTAAATTTCAAATTGTCGATGAAAGTTCAAAATAGAATTATAGAGATGCAGCAGCCTTGCAATTATGATGAAATATAAGAATGAAAATCCATCAACTGTGGAAGTGGTGGGAGCAGATAAACATCAGCCAATAGATAACAAGGCTACCTCTTTAACTATTGGCTGTCTGGATGTCAATCCAACTCCCTACATTTCTAGCATCACTGACTTGCTGGTGCGCTGGGATTACATGGTTTACGTTCACCTCTCACGCACTTACGCTGTTAACTCAACTAACATAGCGGTTCTTAGCATCTTTTTTGAACTGTAGCTTTATCTCAGTTTGCACAAAGTTTGTTGTAATGGCAGACAAGAATTCTTTCACGACCAGTTCGGCGCAAAAGAAAGTCTGTTTTTGACGTCGCTGAAAGAAGAGAAGGGGAAGAGGAACAAAGCGTGACATTTAAAAAAGGACAAACAGTTGCTGCATTTCTCTTTCCTTGAAAAATCTTCTATACAATCATTAAATCAGTCATGGTCACAAGACAGAATTTGGTGAGTTCAAGATGACGTCAACATGGAATAATTAGAGAGACGTTTGTAAAAATAATGATAACAATAATCAAATAAAATAAAACATTGTTGTGCCATTTCTTCAACAAAATCAGAGTAATGCACAATTTGAATCTGGCCATATACAGTCAATTAAATAAATACCTTTTTACTTCCTGAAATCTGCCGTGTTTACATCAAGATCAAGAAAGAAAAGGTTAATGCATCGGGGCAGCATTTAAAGGGAATATATTACGTAACCCAGGACATGCTGGAGGGACTATGTCTCTTGGCTGGCCTGGGAAAACCTCAGGGTCCCCCTAGAGGAGCTGGAGGATGTGTCTGGGGTAAGGGAAGTCTGGGGGTCCCTGCTTAAACTGCTGCCCCCGCGACCCGGGCCCCAGGATAAGCGGAAGAAAATGGATGGATGGATGGATATTACGTAAATTTACTTTTAAGGGCTTTAAATCATTGTTAATAGTTATAACACTGTTCTCTCATCATTACCATACTTATTTTGATTCAGGCGTGTTTCAAGTAATCCTGTATTTGTCCTGTTTTTGAGGCTTGAGTGCTCAGAAAAAATATATGTATTCACCTACCCCCTATCCCCGCCCATTGTTACACTGAACAATAATTCATACTCCAGGTCATACATATAGGGTTCAAAAATGTCAACAATTAAAAAACATAAATGAACATCTGCTACTTGGTGCCACAGACTGTATAAAATGACATTTATACAGATTTATACTTCCTGCTTGTAAGGCCACAGGGCCCAGTTCAGAACAGGAAGTGAGTGGACCAGTTTAAGCCGTTTTAGATGTTTACATTACAATATAAGGTCTTCTTAAATGCACTGAGGCCGCATTTAAGGATGGCAAGCATGCAAATAGTCGGCCCATTTCATGGAGGGTTGGATAAAGATTTCAACATAGATTAGTTTGAGTCTGCACTGACGCTTACGTGGTGCAGCATAAAAGTCATAACACACGGACCTGCCTAAATGTGTTATTGCATTATTATAAGTGCATCAAGCTTCATGAACAGACGAGTTTTAAAATGAGAAAAACGGAGAAAAAGCACTGACCTGAGCTCGATTTTCAGACGATAATGCGGAACATGTTTTGTGGAAGCAACAATGCAGCTCCTGTTCTGATCATTACAGGAGTTATGGCGCCACCTGCAGGACTGGAGGGTCACTGCATTACACTTCCATCATGAATAGGCTTTTCGCGCAGTGTATGTGAAAATAAATTTAAAAATAAAATAAAATAAAAAACAAACAAACAAACAAATAAATAAATAAATAATAACTCAAAACAAAATAGCCTTTGGTCTTTGCTTGATCACTGCTTTGCACAATCTTGGCTTTTCACAAATGTACCGTGTCAAATTCCTACTTTGTGTATTTTCTTCACTGAGAGTAAAACTTTTTCTGATTCTGATCCTGACATCTGTGAAGTGAAAACAATTTCTGGTTTGGACTCTGCAGCAATATCAACAGTGGTAGACTTCTATTTGAGGAATTAGAGTCTTTTAAAATGTAAATTATGATATAACATTTTGTGTAAATTATATTAAAAGTGGACAGCGAATCTAAAATATAACTTTTTCCATTCCACACATCTTGCTTCATACACACAGAAAAAAAAAAAAAAAAAAAAAAAAAAAAAAAAAAAACAATGAATGAGAAACTGAAAATGGGTAAATTCAACTTTTGACTTGTAATACAATACATCATAAACTATTTAAACAGTAAGGGCTGCAACTAACAATGAGTCTATTTCAGTTGCTGACTCCGACTAGTCAGAAATACATTTTTTATTAGTTGATTACTCAAACAACTATTTGTACTGTGCATTGAAACTTTTAATGCTTTATTAACCAAATAAAGGTTGAAATATGACGTCTGAAGGGTTCTAAATTTACAAAGAAAGTGTAAAGAAAGTTAAAGTGGTGACAATGGAAATGTTTTTTTTGTTTTGTTTGTTTTTTTGACACAGGCTAGTATTAATTTAATTCCACTGTCTTTGTTTTATTAAAAAGAAAAAAAAAAGTCTTTTCACACGTGTTTTAGAGTCTGTATAGTCCAGATAGCGATTACGATTATTAAAATGCGACTACGATTAGTTTTTATTCTTTGCTCGTCACGATTAGTTGATTAATCGTCTATCTGCACCCAGTAGATGCAAAGATTGTCCAGTAGGGGGCAGTAATGCACATTTCGTTCACTCCCCTCCATTAAACCTGCAGCAGAAGCAGCCGCTGTGGGTGCTCAAGATGGCGGACACGTGTGGTCAGGTTTTACTCGGCTCGGGGCTCACGGTCCTGTCCCACCCGCTCATGTACATCAAAGTCCTCATTCAGGTAAAAAATGCACTTTATAACAAACCGATTTATGCCTCAGAAAATGTAATCCTCACCGAAATACGCCTGTTATAAGCGTTTGTTGTTTACTCAAGTCGTAGGCAACCCAAACCGGAAGCTACCAATCAGGTGGATAATGGTCAAATTTAACCATTATTTAGGTCTTAAATTAATACATTTATAACTCAACGCAAGTGTTAAAGGTGAAAGTGACAAAATGGCACGTTGTTTTTATTTTGATGATTATTGAACGCTTTATAAATCATTAATTCTCGCAACTTTCACAACACTAAAGCTGCTCAGTATCTTGTCCTCTTGACCTTCCATTTCAAAATGCTTAATTGCAATTTTAACTAATGAGATAAACGTGTTATTTTGTAAACTTATACGATTTCATACTAATATTAGGGTTTGTAGTATCTTAATGTAGCTGTTACACGTTATGTTTAATCAAAATATTCCTGGTATCTCTGTAATCTACTGTGCCTTCAGCAAGTCTTTTTCTCTTTCATGTTGAATTTATCTGTAATGACACTTTGAATAATAATTTATCTACACAAAAAAGGTTCAAAGGCATTTACATTTTAGTTGTTATGGTGGAGATACGTTATAATGAGTTTTAAATGCCATGCATATTATGATAAAATTTATATTTAGACTTTTGGTTGTTTTATTCTGCCGATTTTTGCTGCTGAATTCTGTCTCTACTACTACTTTGACAGATATATTATGTGATAAAATCTACATTACATTTGGGATTAAAAATGGCTACTCTACTGTACATAAACATAGCCATATAGCCACTCACTGTACATGAAGTTGTATTGCATTTATAGTCTTCATTAGATTTGAGTCTGTTTTAATTTAGATTTTTTCCATTGCTTTTTTTCTCTTATCTTGCTGTTCTTGAACTTTGTGTTGCCCAGAACTGGAATTTCTTCGTTATGAATCTCTTATCTTTTGCATACGCTTTTGGGGTGGTGGCCTGTAAACGGCTTTTATGATAATTATGTTGTATCTAACATTACAGTTAAGAATAGTGCCAAGAAATGATCCAATTGACTTCACTGGATAAACTAAATGACCACAGATGTTTGATAGTGCATAATCTGTATGTGAAGGCTTTACATGTCTTCCCTCTGAGTCACATTACCCTGATACAGGGTGACAACAAAGGAGCAGGTCCTCTTTCACTGTGAAGGTGCCCCTTCGTCATGGACAGTCCAGCAGTGATGCCATTATTTAAATAAGCAAGCACTCACACGGTATTAAATATCTTCGTGTATTTTAAGTATTTAAGTTTATTAGAGAGGGATGTTGACTGAATTTTGAGCCCCAGATTTGCACTTTTTAGCAGATCAGCTATCAGTGATAAAACTCCAGATTTTATTTAGTCTAACCGGCTGAATATCCAGAATATCCATAAACTTTGAACACTTCACAGGGCACTGCACAAAATTCTGCTCACACTTCTCTCATATTTGTGAAGTTTGTAAGTTTGTCAAAAAGAGTTGTGGATGAGTCCTTAATAAATTCAAATCATATAATTTTAAGGACATTAATTATTCAAATCTGTCCTAAATATTGTCCCATAAACATGACATCAGCAGATCTTATCGGACCGTCAGTGCCTGGATTTTAATCACAGTCGAATCAGAAAGTTTTTTTAGTCATTTTTGATCTTTTGAATGCAGACAATACACTTTTCTAAGATGGAAATGCCACTGGAAGTGTAAATAAATAAATAAAACATGTACTGCTATTCTAAGCATAAAGTCAGTGCCTGTCGGAAATACCCCAACCCTCACAATGACATTTTCTTTTCTCAAATTGTTCAACCCATCCTGGATTCTTATTGACCTGTTGACAATCCTCTGTTTACAAACCTCACTGTGGATCTTTGTCCTCTTCTGCTGCACAATAATGTAGTGTTCAGTGTTGCAAATGTGAAACTATGTGAGCGATGCTTTTTGATAATGTATTTTCCTCTGTGCTGTGTTCAGGTGGGACACGAGCCGCTGCCTCCGACTCTGGGCAGAAACCTGTTTGGCAGACAGGTGTACCAGCTGCCCGGGCTGTTTGCTTATGGTGAGTGCAACATCAGAGTTCATTTCAGTTGATCTCAAATACCATGAATAATGATTAATGTACACAAAATAATCCTTTTATTACCAAAGTTTGCGTATGGTTTGAGCTGTTAATCTTTACTTTTTTTTGTATTCTCCTGATAACATCATGGTTACATTTGTAAACAATTATAACAACACTGGCCTAAAATGAACCTCTAAATGTTTTGTTTTGTTTGAGCTTCCATTATTGCTTGTCATAAATGGACTGGAAACCACAGAAGTGCATAAATACATAAGTGCATTTATACGCCACACTGAACGATTACACTGAAGTTTTGTTTTTTAAAGAGCCCATTTTATACTATTTCTGATCTGTTTTCTTCTATATAATGTTGTTTCCTCATTAAAAACATACCTGGAGTTGTGTTTTGTTTCATTCACACATGTTTAAAACACAAACGCTGCATATTTAGGATGGGCCAGTCTCTCAAACAGAAAACACTGTTCCACCTTGTGATGTCATTTAGTAATACAGGATGTGCTCCAGTTTGTTTTTCACCCTATTATCTCTTACACCTTCACAAGAATCATTTGGATACTTTAGGCTCTGGAACTGATAACTTTTACCTTTAGGAGAGATTCAGGAGAGATTATCAGTTAACTTGAAAATGGCCACTACATAACATCACAATGTGGAATAGTATTTTGACTATTGTAGTTTTTAATGCATATTTTTTTAATTGTAATTTATTTTGTCCTTCTGTTTCAGCCAAACACATAATAAAGATCGACGGAAAAGCCGGTCTCTTCAAAGGCCTCGTTCCAAGGCTCTGCGCCGGGACCTTCGGCACAGTGGTGCACAGCCAAGTGGTGCAGGTACAACATTATAATCTGAACTTTGTGTCCAATTTTAACTGATTTGACTGTAAATTCAAAATGAACTTTTCTGTTTCTGTTTTCTGAGATTACAGTTTAACAATGTGTAGCTGATTAACATTAATTCTTTGTTTCAGAAATGCCACGAGAACGACAACATTCGGGTAAGTTTGAAGTTCCTCTGGGATCAATAAACTCTTTCTCTCTTTTCTCTTTCTCTCATCTTCTTTCTCTCTTCTGTGCTTCTTTCTCTTTCTTTCTCTCCTTTATCTTTCTCTCTATCTTATTCTTTCTTTCTTTTCTCTATCTTCTTTCTCTCTCGCTTTTTCTTTCTCTTTCTTTCTCTCTCTCCTTTCTCTTTCTCTCTTTTTCTCTCTCACTATCTATATTTTTTATCATGTAATCGCATTAATAATTAAATATGGTTATGAGGTTGTGTTGTATAAAAACATGTATTTTTTAATCTCTGGGGCACATTTAGATTTATTAATCACACTAATGAGTTTGCTTTTCGATTGAGTTGGCACGTTTGTTTTATCAAGATGTAATATTTCGTACATATTTTGTGTTGCAGCTACCCGGTAGCCCTCAGAAAGCTCCAGCTGGTTCCTTGGAGCATGTTGTTAATGAGGTAATGACGAATAACGAAATACAACTGCAATCAAATTTTCCACTGAATCTGTCTTGTCCAAACAGACGACCAAAGAGATGATTGCTCGCTCTTGTGCCACAGTCGTCACACATCCTTTTCATGGTAAATCTAAACCAGCGCTTCCTCCATTTTTCTTCCTAATACTTTGTTTCAACATCTGAAAAATACCCTTTGTCTTGCTTTTACTTTCTCTTTTTTTCGACTTGAGTGTACTTTGTAACTCTCTTGGTGGAGGGTTTGCTACAAGCTTGTCTCCATGTTGATGCAAAAATATTAATATATCGTATTGTTTAATGTAATGATACTAGGTGTATAACAGTACATGTATTCGTGCCGAACTGTTTTGATAAGGGGCTTTTGGTTTGGTTCGGCTCTTTCATATTCATCAGGGAACTTGTCCATGAGTGACAGTGTTTCCCACAGCGCTTTATAGTTAGGGCGGCTGTGAATCCTCGCAAAACTATGGTCGTAGCGCCGCAGTCCTCACTTTTGCCGACACGAAATCTCGGGGACATTGTAACTGCAGCAGATCTGCACTTACTGCAGGCTATGTGGATAAGTTGGTTTTTCTGGCCAAAAATATGAAGATTGAGTAAAACTTCATCCTGGAACTGTTCATGCTGTGCCTTACTTCTTGAAAAGTTTTATTTACTGTTCACAAGAAATTAATTTTTTATAACATTTCATGCATTTGTTGCTTATATGAGAAGTTATTAGTATTACCAAGCAGCACTTTTCAGAACCATGACCTCAAAACCGTACCGTACTGAACCGTGGTTTTTGTGTACCGTTAGACCCCTAGATGATGCAGTATTGATATCATGGGCTTCTGTATCGATATGTTGCCATGCCAAGAGTATTTTTTTTATTTTATTTTTTTTACTAAATTATTTTGTGACAGCGCAACAGTTTTGTTGCTTGTTTTAGAGGAAGGAAACTTATTTATTTATGCATTGACTCTATATTCACTGTTTTGATGAATAAAATGGGTGTGTTTCATATGAACTTTGCACAGGTAAAGGTTTAACAAAGACTTTTAGTATCACTCCATGATTTAGTCTTTATTTTTTACTGAACCATATCAAATTGATTTAATTAGATCAAATCGAAAGCTGACTGAATCGAAAAACGTATCGTATTGTGGTCTGTGTTTTGAGGTATGTATCATATCGGCAACTTAATGATACTCTCCACAGATATGACTTGTAACTTGGCCTCTTTGTCTGTGGAGTAGGCTGTTTCTTTTTATTGCCATACTTGGGAGAATTCTGGGCAAAGCAGTAACATCTTCATGGAGACAAACAGCCAGAGAAATTTTAAATAAATAAAAAATAAATAAAAATAATGTTGACATGCATTTGTGTTTTGCAGTGATAACTTTAAGATGTATGGTGCAGTTCATTGGGAGGGAAACAAAATACAGGTAAAGCCACATTTAAATTTGTAATGTGTAAATTCAGTAACTATGACAACGCAAAATCACAACATTATTTCTGTGATTTGCAGTGGTATTTTCGACTCCGTTATTACGATCTACAGAGAAGAGGGCATCTTGGGATTCTTTGCGTGAGTAGATTTGCTGCTAATAGAGTTAATGGATTTCAGCCAGATTATCACAGTGGTGTTGTGTTTCCAGGGGGCTGATTCCTCGTCTGCTCGGAGATGTTCTGTCTCTTTGGATCTGTAACATGTTGGCTCATTTAATCAACACATACGCCATTGACGACTCAGTATGTCTGTTTTTTTATAGTCTAGTTTGGTTATAGTCACAGATTTGCCAATATTTTGCCTAGAATTGGAGTAAATGTGACTGCTCGGCTATTAAAGCAATTATAATGACATTAATTATAATGTTTTGATAATCATCAGAATTTTCTGGACATTTTATGACAAATACAGGCATTATAACATCAAAATGTGAAACTTTTCATTGGTAATACAGTGTATCTGTAAATAATCTCCAAAAGCCTGTAATTGGCGTAAATTCAACCTTTTATGTAATTTAAAAGAAACCTCTGTGTACAATTTAAATTACTGTTTGACTAGTCGAATGATCAGAAGGATAATCTGACTTGTTGCCTACTTAAAAAAAAAAAAAAAAAGACATTATAGCACTGTAAAAATGTTACACAGGATTGAAACAGTTTTGCTTATTGTACCATTTGTAATGCATTTATTCATCACTAATTAATTTTTTATTTATTTTTTCTTACCAAGTTTGAATCTTAATTACGTGATCAAATATGAATATATGTAATATGAAATATGTATTCTTTTGATTTTAGTCTGAGTACCACCAAACGAAAGAGTAACAGTACCGTTATACAGTTACTTGAATATATACACTACCGGTCTAAAGTTTTAGAACACCACACTTTTTCAATTTATTTATTTTTTTACTGTTTACTGTTGACCAAAACGTATTCTAAACTTTCATGAATGTGTCCATCTTTGGCAGATGTAACAGCTGAACACACTTATGGCTTGTTCTTTTTACAAATCAAATATTCATCAGAAAGTTCTTCCCAAGTCTGTTGCAGAAGTTCCCATAACTGTGTGGCAGTTTTATTTTGTTTGACTTTCACTCTTCTGTCCAGTTCATCCCAAACCAGCTCAATGGGGTTTAAGTCTGGAGACTGTGCTGGACACTCCATGTTTTACAAGTTTACCATCTTGTTCTTTTTTCCTGAGGTAGTTTTGGCAGAGCTTGGACTTGTGTTTTGTTATCATTTATCTTTTTTTTTAAAACCTTTATATTTGTACCATTTCAAGCTCTTCATTGGACTTGCGTAACTTGAATTGCAATAAGTAACTGGAAAAATTAGGGTGTTCTAAAACTTTTGACTGGCAGTGTATGAATATTCTTTTTCGGTTCATGCAGTTGTTACTTCTCATCACATCTTGAGCCATCTGTAACTGCACAGTTGCACAAATTCAGGTCACGAGGAGTTTTTGAAGGAATGCCTCATTGGCTCAGTGCTTCCTTGTTTGGGAAAGTTGGATACTGCACTATATTTGTTTTAACACTGGCACCAATGTTGAGTTACTCCCAAGATTTACAAGCACTCAGAAATGAAATGCGCTGTATTTTTTTACCTGGTAGTTCTGACTTTTATTAAACCACGTTTTGTAAGTTCTAAATATTTTTCCTGTCTTTGTTTTTAGATGAGTCACACAGGAGAAATTAAGAACTGCTCTCAGGCCGTGACAGGGGTATGTCTTCTTCAACGTAGACATATTTAAAAAACAAAACAAAACAAAACTCAAAACCAACAGATCTATGTATTGCTGATTTTAATACAATTGTTTAATTTTTGTTCACAGTTCTTTGCCAGTATGCTCACGTACCCTTTCGTTTTGGTGTCAAACCTTATGGCTGTCAATAACTGCGGGTGAGTGCATTTTAAATAAGTTTTTTTTTAATTAATCAAAATCCAGTCCCATTTATTAGTATAGCACATCTTATAACATGGTTTCCAAAGCAATTTAAGAAACAAATGGTCAGTGTATCTGCCCTAGTCATCAGTAATAACCTATAAATATAAAAGCAATTAAAAAAAAAAAATGTAATCTTTGCTTTTTTAAGTACTTAAGTTTGGTGTTCACGTGTTTCAGACTTGCCGGAGGTCTGCCCCCTTACGCGTCAGTATATCCCACTTGGGTCGACTGCTGGAGGCATCTAAGCAGAGAGGTAAGAGAAGGAGATCTGGTTATAAATGAGAAATGTGTTTACTAGGGTAATTTTAAAGGCAAGGCACGTTTTTGGTCATTAAAAGTGCTTTACACTAATGGTTCTGTAAACTTCAATATACTGTGTCAGTGCCAATGTTGAGATTGATTCAACATTATTCCTCTTTGGGAGCTGGAATCGTAGGTCAGGGAATTTAAAAAAAAACTTTACAAAATAGGATTTTGCAGGAACTGGACAAAATTGGACATTTCAATTTCAAAATCCAAACATAATTCTGGTAAACTTATAAATTTTGCTTTATGGTTGTAGAATTTCTTAAGCATACAGACGTAACCATGTTGTATAGGGCTGAGTATCATTAAGAAGTTGCCAATACGATACATAGCTCGATACAGTGCACTTTCAGTTCGATACGATATGTTTCAAATAAATTCGATACATGTTCAATAAAATAAACTGGCTAAATCATGGCTGTGATGCTAAGTCTTTGTTAAACCACTTCTTGTGTAAAGTTAATATGAAACACGCCTATATTAAATAGTCAAAACACTGAAAATGTCAAATGTGTAACAAAATAATTTTGTAAAATAAACTAAAAATACTCTTGGTGATTTATCAATACAGCAGCCCCCGATATTGATACTGTATCATCACAGTAGATTCGATATGTCGATATTTCAATATTTTTGCACACCCCTAATGCTGTAACTGTATGTAGTCATTTTTTATCAGCAGAGCCAAAAAAGTCACATTATTCTTCATATACTGTATTAAATAAAATGATTCAAATATGGATTGAGTAAAAAACATTATTTAGACAATAGAATGTCTTTGAGTACTTTCTGTAATATTCCCATGTGGCCTTATATCTGTGTAATCTCTCAGTGGTCCATGGGCGTGTACTAGTCTGTGTGCTCTTACGCTTGTTCTGATTCAGCTCAAGATCATTCTAAAACTATTCTGGAAAGGTTCATTTCTGTCCCGTGAGAGTGACTTTTTAATATCAATACCTGCTCCAATGAGTATTTAGTTTCGATTTGAAGTTTTAGAAGTGATTAACATGTGATTTTTGATACTTTTAACAACCGTAATCCAGCCTTTTCTTTTATTATTAAATGTTTAGTATCGTATTTTAGTATAACACTTGTGGATTCTGTTTTCATCACTACTAGGGATGTAACAACTGAAATATTGTGATATCGTATCGTCAAAAGTCTCAGAATAATATTGTGAGCTGTCACAATATATTGATTCACAAGTTCCTTTGCTTAAATGCATGGTTTTGTAGAAGTAACAGCTTATAAACATTGGGAACTACATATCCCATGATTCATTGCGGCGCAGACAACATGAAGAAATATGTTTTTTACTTGAATTCTTGGGATTATGATGGAAATAATTCTCACCAAAATCTTGTCAAGGTATTTTAAAAGCAAAAAAGTGTCCTATCTGCAATTTATATCAGCCTCTCCCAAATATTGCAATAAATATCGTACCATGAGATGCATATCATGATAATATCGTACCAAGAGATTTGGATGTCGTTACATCCCTAATTACTATCTATATATTTTTCATTAGTGGGTGGTGTTTTGTTGTAGAAAGTGGAAAGTTTTTGCCAACCTTGTGTTTTATCTCCAGGGCAACATGAGCAGAGGAAACAGTTTATTTTTCCGAAAACTTCCAGCTGGAAAGACGTACGCACTGGAGCAGAAGAGATTTTTTTAAAACCCGACCATCGTAATCATAGTTTAAACACACTAAAAACAAAAGGAAATCATAATTTTGCTAATACTGGGTTTGGCACTTAAATCTTTGTTTTGTATGCACTTGTTTACTTATTATTCTATTATAACATCCCATCAATGTTTAGCTAATCAAGTTTTGTTAACAGAATTACGATTACAACTTTTATTACATGTCAGAAAATATTCAAGTGCCCCCATATTTTTATATCTAAGAACCATGGACTACTTTCTCATGTGGCAAGACTTATTTGAAACCCCCAGTCTGCATGTATCTACTAATAGACATGTGAATAAAGGTAATTAAAATGTCGAGGGGACCTTGTGCGATTTTGTCTGGTTAAATGTTAATTATTGTAGCGCCCCCTGCTGGAGACTGGAACAGGCAGAGGGATTTGGAGTAATTGGCTGTGATGCATGTGTGATGTACAGAGGGCATGGAGAAGCCTGAACCTCTTAAACTAGTCAAGTGCTTGTATGAAATCATTGACTGACCCAAATAAATAATGCTTTTTTGCACTTGTCTTCTGTGCTTTATTGTTTTATTTTTGTATTTTTACCTTTTACAGTTAAAATAAGACAGGAATATTGCTTTAAACTTGTCTTGAGTTTTTCTGATTTCCCACTACAATATATTTCCTCCATAATTACTGTAATATAAACAAAATATAGTTGTCCATCTCATGTAGAGATGAGTAGAGTACCCAATAAGACTACTTCAAGTACTATTTTAACTATTAAGTACGGGGTCAAGATACGAAAAATATCTAGGAGAAACGGTCACTCAAGAGTATAGGATTCCCATGCTTTCTGACAAAATTTCAAAACTTTTCAATTACCTAAAGTGAATTTTCCATGACCTCATAGCACCATACATGTGTAGAATTGATCATACTTTTAGAACTAAATATGAAATGTTAACCCTTTCCCCTCACCTTATGGTTTGGGATTGTAGTTTAACATTCAAAATACTATCAGTGCATTTATTGTCGTCTCTTTAAAACAAAAGGTGCATACATTGAAAAATAATCATACCATTAATAGCCTAATGATAACAGAACACTAGTTGCGTGAAAGAGATAATAAATTCCATGACTTTTTCAAAACTTTCATTGAATTTACAAAATTCCATGACACTTCCAGGCCTGGAAAATGACATTTTCAATTTCTGTGATGTGGGAACCCTGAGAGTAACTGGATGTAACGTTATTTGATTTATAATTTGAGGTTAATGTAAGGAGTTGTCCTTACAAACGTATTTTCAAAGGATTAAATTATAAATGAAACAATCATATTTGAAAGAGTGGTACAAATGCAAATTTAATATTGTCAATGTAAACTCAATATCAAACTTAAGTTGGATTTTTTTTTTCTACTTAACTACCCACTATTGTGTGTAAAACCCCTCAGCCATCCAGGGAAAATCCATGTCGAAAGGAGAAATTCAATTTGTCAAATGGACAAAAGTTTATTTAGGTCGAGTTTCGCAGCTCATTCAAGCTGCTTCTTTAGTTCAGGTCAGACGCTGGTGGACACTTCCTTATATCTGCTTGAAGGGAGGAACTAACTACACTGAAACTACTCTGAAACTAACACACCTACTTGTTTACAGTTTCTATTAGTTAGCTAGACTATAGCTGTTTGGGGTCATATTAGCAGAATCATTCAGAGCCATAATGGTGCTTTCACATGTCTGGGCGTGACCTGGTTATCCCTATTGGTCTCTTGTATGTTAACGTTTAGATTTGAGGATGGAGTTATAAATAGCAGATAGATGGTGTCCAAGGCCTCCATTTCTGTTCAAAGATGGATTGTCTTTCCCCTGAATGATTATGTTAATATGACCTCACATTCAGTGCAAGTTCAATAGGCCTAGCTAACAAAAACTCTAAACAAGTAGATGTGTTAGTTTCACTGTAGTTAACTTCTCCCTGCAGGCAGATATAAGGAAGTGTCCACCAGCCTTTTGACCAGAACTGAAAAAAACTGCTTGAATGAGCTGTGGAACGTATTCAACCAAAATAAACTTTTGTCCAATTGACAAATTTAATTTCTCCTTTTGCTACCCACCGTCGTGTGTACTGTACATTGGAACTATCAAAACTAGATTATAATGCATTAGCCTTACATAGAACTTTTCCAGATGTTCAAAGTCGCTTTACAATTTGGTACGATATCCATTCACCCTGCCACAGCTGCCCTGAGTCAGACTGATGGAAGTGAGGCAGGCCAGTCTGTGTCATTTCTGCCCTTTCCGATCACCACCGACATTCACGCACACACACCACTTTCTTACCAGCCAATGTGGGTGAAGTGTCTTGCCTTCGGATTCAATAGTTTTTGCCACTGGCGTCCCACTGTGGCATCTGATTTTCCCAGCGGTCTCTCCTCCAAACACTAACCAGACTGGGCCCTGCTCATCTTCACAGATCTAATCAGGCTTTGACAAGGTTTGGCCCAAGTACATCATGCTTGATTACAATTTCCAACTTCAAAGTATAAAATTCTTTCCAACATAAGTCACATGAAAGCAGACCACCTTCACAACACTAAACCACATTATTTGTATTTATTCTTTGATAAAATTATTACATGAAAGACAAATACATAACATTTTTAATATCAATTCTTTTTTTTTTCAATGTCAACCCCCCCCCAACCCCCCAAAAAACCCAATCGTTCATACTTCAAAGCTTTCTAATCAAAGGATGCTGCACCACAGGTTTCTCTTTCTCCATATTTGGTGAAGTCAGACTAGCTGCTGGTTGTGGCTGGGTTCTTGGTTTCCTCTTTGGGGCCGTGGGTGTCACTGTGATATGTGCTGTGCTCCGTCATCTCTTTTCGGTTTGTGACGGTGTGACCGCACTGAACACAGGTGTAGCGCCCCCTGGTGTGCTGCCAGAGGACACGTTTCTCGGGGCCTAAGAGTGAAAAGGGATCGAAAGATTAAAAGTGGGTGTATTTAAGGCGCACGTGTAACTTCGGAGAGTCCGTCAAATACTTTTCTTCACAATGACAGAAAGGTTTAATGCCATACTGTGAAACATTCATGGAGACAAATCCAAACCAAGTTATAGGTCGGATTTGTGGAGAGGCAACCCCGCTCACGGAATGGAGCCTGTTTTTCTAGGTATTTTTGAGGTATATACCCCTCTGTAATTGAATAAATGGTAGAGCTGTTAAAAGTCATACTGTGGAACATTTTAGGCAGAGCAATGACTCTCCATAGAAACTAAAGCAGTTAACAGACGCCCAACCAAAAAGTTACACAGTGCACCTCTAAAGTATGATAAGGCATCATTATTTGCTGTTTTGGTTGAATATTACTTGCAAACAAAATGAACAATACTGCCGTTTTAAAATTTGCACTGTGTAACTTTTCTGGTGGACAGTCGGCCCACTGCTTATCTCCATGGAAATGTTATAGTGTTGCCTAAGGCTGTGCTATTAATCTAATTTTAATCACGATTTTGATTTGTGTGTTAAAAGATCTCCAAACTCATATAATCAACTTGAAATTATTTAAGCTTAACAAAGTTTATTTTTGGATATTTTTTATATAAATAAGTATATTTATTGTATATTTTGTTTTAAATATAGAGGTTGTAGAACAGCTGTATATATTGTTTATTTTGGATACATTTATGTTCTTCTATGCCTTATTTCATGTTCAAAGTATATTTTATTCATTTTATGGTTTATACATCGCAAAACTGCTCTAAGGTTCATATTTGTCACCTATATTTATTTTCAATTTGAAAGTTTTGTGTAAATTATCAATAACAGAGAGAAATGCTGAATAAACGCATTGTGTAACTAAAAAAATAATCGTCTGCATAACCATGATTTCAATATTGACCAAAATAATCGTGATAATGATTTTTTCCATAATCGAGCAGTCCTCGCATTGCCTGTAATGTTCCACAATATTGAATTAACACATATCTCTATGGAGACAAGGAGGCAGGTCAGACCCCACTCACAGTAAGGATGCACATTTCCCAAGGTATTATTTAGCAAGAAAATCACCTGTAAATTAATTATTTCAAGTTACAGTTAATGCTATACTATGAAACATTACAGGCAACGCAATGACATCTCCATGGAGACGAGGACATGGTGAAGCCTAAACCAGAAAAGTTACACACTGCGCCTTTAAGTAGTACAGAATGAAAATGAATGAACAGCACAAATGTCTCACAAATGCAAAGTCTGTAAAAGTGTGCGGTTCTTCCCCCAAATTAACATAAATCATAATTTCTAAATTGTGAAACAAGAGCCTCATTATTGGGTGATAGAAAACCTACCTTGACCAGCTCTCCAGACATTGACGGGAGCAGTTTGTGGAGTCAGTTTGGGTGGTCCTGGGTTTTCTGGCGTTTTCGCTCTCTGGTGGATCTGGCTTTCAGGTGGGTTTGCTTCGGGCTGCATCTCTGGGACTGGGCTGATTGGTTGGTTCTCTTTCGAAAACAAAGCATTTACTGTTGAATCTATGATATGCTGAATTAAACGAGGCTCGGCAAGATCGTTGTCTGGGGAGGGGAGAGGGAGGTTGTTGGGTTGTGGGGGCTGTTGGGGCTGGTTGGATGGGGTAAGGACTGGGGGAACTTGTGGTTGTGGTGGTGCAGAAGAGGCAGGAGGGGGGTTCAGATTGTCCTGTGGGGGCACTGTTGGTTTTGTTGGTTCCACTTCCATCGGGACAGGGGGAGTAGAGGAAGACGAGGGAGAGGGGTCATGGTTATACTTGGGTTTGGGGGCTTTGGAGCAGGAGCGCAGGTGATGGAGGAGTCCACGGTAGGATCGCAGTTTGGCATGACAGCTCTCACACCTAAAGACAAGAAGACAATATGCTAAGTAAACACATGAGCATCTTTTAGTTTTTTGTTTAATCAATTAACCTCCGGATCCCCTTTAAATGCCATTTGCAGGTGTATATTTTGATAAATGACAGCTAGTTCCAAATAAAAGCTGAGTCTGTATAGAAAGTAGCCTATGCCGACACCCCCAGAAGTCGTTCTGGCTGCTGCCGAGGAAGCTACTCAAACTCCCATTTCCCGTTTTTTGAGCTTTATTTAACGAAGACATCATGATTAGTGCAGCAACACCACAGAGAGCCTGATGTTTACAGCCGCCATAGAAGCAGTTTGACTTCAGTTCAGTCTTGCCTTTACCAGACTGGTTGTGTAACTTGGAATGGATAGGCTATATTCTCTGCGATGAGTCAGATCACCCTCACCTTCACTGAAAAAGTGGTGGAACAGATGACGTAGCAGTGATATCCCTATTTTGAAGTGATGTAAAAAAGAAAGATGGCACAAGCGGGCATAGCGTGAAGGAAATGGAGGTAGTTTTTAACACTTTTGGTAATATTACTTCAGTTTGGCAATTCGGAGGAAGCAGCAATGTCATCGTAGCTGCTATGGCGTAAGAAAAAAGTTATGGCAAAGTAGGCCAGGCCATTGTATAAAATGTATAAAAACTGTAAATTATAGTCATACTAGTTAAAAGAACCTGATGTTTGAATGTGTGGCGTCTGTTTTTCTTTTCTTTTTCTTTTATTATTTATAGATTGTGCACGACCAGAGATGTGCGAACTGAACTGCCCTTTGGGATTAATAAAGTTGTTGATTGATGGATTGAGAATTTGAGTGCCATATTTCCCAATTTTGCTGAGCAAGATTTTCGTGAGGAAGGAATTAATCGCTTGCCCCAAATTCCCGCCTGGTCTCAAATAAATGCCTGGTCTGTTAAGTGATTGAAACAAATAAACGCCGCAGCTCTTATTTGATATTTTACGGTAAAACACTGACCTACACAAAAGACTTAATAAGATTGTTATCTAAACTAATATGTTGAGGTTTTTTAATGATCAGCTTTGCATTAACATTGTATTAACTGTTCATTCAATAAATTGGTCAACTAAACAAAATACCAGTTTGATTCTACAAATACACCAAATTACAAAAAATAAGAAATAAGAAATGTTTAAGTTCTTGCTACAAATCTAATGTGGCATCAAACTTCATTGCTACACACATATAATTTTCACCATAAGCTCCTAAATGTACTTTTTCCTGTTTTAAAAGGTGCACCATGTAATTTCTGATGAAAGATTTGTTTTTGCTTTGCCTGGATTGCTTCACAGTATGGCATTAAATTAATAAATATTAAAATACCTTGAGAAATATGCCTTCTCCACAGAGCCAGGCCATAGAACTTTCCAGGCAAAGCAATAACATCTCCATGGTGACAAGCAGGTAGCAGACCCTCCACCAGAAAAGTTACAAAATGTACCTTTACGTTCATGTAACTTGCAATGCTTTCCATATCCAGACAGATTACAAAAATGACCCTTGATAAAGACTCACAGGAAGTAGACGTTTGGTTTGTGGTGGTGTCTCAGGTGCTCCATCAGCTTCTGCATGTTCGGAAAAGAGCCGCCACAGCCGATCATTGAACACATCATCGCTTTACCTGAAGAAGAGCAACACACAAGTGAGTAAGCACAATTCTGTATAATGCCTTTTTGCCTAATGACGGGTGGTAAATGCAGAGTTAATGCTATAACACAAAAATCTAATATAGTAACAATTCAGTCACTCCTATCAATCCTTGAGAAGAGTAATGTAATGCAGCTTTTGAAAACTTCCAGATAGAAATGTGTTGCACAAATTTTACAAAAAGCCAATGTGATTCTTAGCTCAAAGAGTCACATTTTAAAAAGTGAGTTTTCTTTACTGACCTCAGGCTGTCTCCATTTTGTCCCCTGTTCATAAATGAATACGTATTTTAAATAATTTATTCCTACTGCCATTTTGAAATACAAATCCACTGTCTTTTTATTGGTTGCTTCATTGACTCTCAGAGCTCCTTTTTGTTCAGAATTGCCCCATGTGTTAGATCTTTAGTTGTTACTATGCGTTTTAATTGCCACTGGCGGGTTTAATAAACTTGTCTGAATCTTAAATTTTAAGTAACCATATTTGAAAACTTTACTTGAGACAACCAGAACAAAGTGTCGTGGGTGGTACCTCGGGGTGTCGCTGCTTTGCTACAGATCAATGAAATTTAAGGGGAAGTTGGCTGTGCACCCGGAAGGTGCCAGTTTCCGTGGGAGGCCAGGTTGATTACTGGACCTGGCCTCCAGCAATCAACCTTTATAAAAGGTTTGAGTGCGTGAATGTTTTAATTCTGAGGATGTAGATTTTAATCACCGGTTTTGTGTTACGACCACACTGTTTTTAAAGGTTGAGCTTTGCAACCATGAAGTTGTGTGTGGGGCTCATGACGCACAGGTAGCTTATATTTCAAGAGTTTTTAAGTTTATTAAAATGTACCCAATCTCTAAGTGTTTTTTGGTAATTTTGTATTTTTGTGTTAACAGTTACGGTCATTGCTATCTGCTGTCTTTTAGTTTGTTTTTCGCTTTTGAGTACACTCCCAGTTAGTGCACTTCAAAACGATGGTGTTGTGGTGTTGTTTTATTTGTTTATCTTTTTGGTCACCCCCCCCCCAAAAAAAAATACTAATGCTCATCCATGAGAGAAACTTTATTGTAACCTGTTAACCATGGTAATGTTAGTAGTGGTTGTATCTACCTGTCTGCAGTGAGCTTAAAGTTCTGGTTATTTATTCAACATGAATAGTTGGTTTTCCTGTGAATTTACTGAGTGGCACAAATATGGACAGACATAGATGGGAGACCTGAATGATCTGCAAAACCAAAATACCCCGGCTATAACATAAGCAACAGTGAAATAAAGCATTAGACAAACGTGTTGATGGTTTTCAGTTTCTATTGGATTCAATGGAGACCACGGAAGTCTTGCTATTGTAAACTAGGAAGTGAAAGTGCAAGTGCTTTTGCAGGTATAATTGTCCACACACAAAAAGACCATGTTATTATTATTATTTTATTATTAATTTGCACCTGTTTAAAAACTCACCTGGCACAGACTGCGCAGGGATCTCATGGTCCTTTATGTGGCTCTGAAGAGAACTGGAATCAGTGTAAACCCTTTTACAGCCGTACAAAGGACACGACAGCCTCTTATTTCCTGAAACATACGATTAAAGTGACAATGAGTTATAATTCACAGCAAAATAGCTTCAATCATATCGCTCTAACCACAAACACAGTGTTAGCACCAATGAAATAACTAGCATAGTGATTAGTCTAGCTTTAGCGCACTATTAAAACTGCTTTGGGCACAATTTAGTGACAATGTGCATAAACTATCGCTTATTTCAAACCTTCGTTACGGTTTTCCACGACCACACCGCCTGAAGACATCGTTAAACTTGCAAAAAACCACAAATGCAACGACAAAGAACCACTAGCAGCGCCTTCAACGACTGCAGGCGAAACGAACTACAAAGCCCAGTATGCATTGCGGCAAATAACAACTTCCGTTACAAACTGAATTATTTTTATTTTTTTACATCTAAATATTTCAAAACATTGCATTATGAGATTAAATTAAAAACAAAATAAATAACACTTCTTATTGTATTGTGTTAAAATATTTTTTTTAAGTTTATTTCGTCTTTGGATATTTATATTTATTGGCAATTAAACAGCACATGCATCCGTTTTTACCATAGACTGTATAAAGAAGATATATATACAGTCAAGAAGAAGTCATAAATACAGTCTATGTTTTTGGCTTTGCACACAAATAAATTATAGCATTTCTCAAGTAAGCTTTAAGGATTATAGGCAGGCCAAAGGCATCCAGTTTCCCATGCAAACACAAAACAAACATTTATGCAGCAGTTGACAGAAATTTACTGTATGAAACCATGATATACAAATATAGCCCATTTCTATATATTTACAAAAATGTCAACAATTTATGTAATTCCTTTTTTCATGCAAAACAAGTCCCATGCAACACTGGTGTACATTATACTGCTAAAGGCTTGCACACATCTTTTCAAGTATTTATTAATTGCATAATGTTTGCAATTCCTATGCCAAAAAGAAGGCTACAAGATAAACTTAGAGTAGGTCTAATTAAGACTATAGTTATTTATAAATCTCATTATTGTGCTAATTTGGTAACATTTTAAATACAAGATAGAAATTAGATAAAAGCATTAATTTCAACATAATATAATGCCACATACAATAGCGAAATGTTTTTAAGTGCAGCACTTGTAACCCTGTGAGTAAGTTATGAGCAGCAGGGGCTCAGTGGTAAGGATGCTGGTTCAGTGATGTGTGCTTTTGTGGTTTATGTCTCATCAAACAAAGGTGAGTCAATCGTATTTACACAGCTACCTAAGAAGAACGACAGAAGGCAGTGTCGTAAGATAATGGTACTTACAGTGTCAGACATGTGCATAATCTTATCTTAATGAAACAGGTTTTAGACAATCCATGGGTTTCAGATCAGAATGGTGGAAAATTCGGACTGTTGCCATAGCAGACAACAACTCAAAACAGATGATTGAATTGTTACTAACAACAGGAAACTGAAATCCAAGGATAGTTGAATGCCCCTTTATGTAACTGGTAAAAAACAACTACAAAGTACTATAGCTCAGCAGGTTGTGGACAGCTGTTTTATACACTAATTTAAATTAAAGATCGACCGGTTGTTTTCATTTTTCATGCAAGTATTGATTGTTTAGAATCCAGAGGAATGGATTGGCGATGAGCTCTGCCGATATTTTTAACAGAGGCCAATATTTCTGGGCAGACATTTGGGGCCAATTTTTATTATTTTTGCCAAATTGTGTAATTTAAATTGACTTAAAACTCACTTAAAACCCACCCTTTTTTTTTTTACCACAAACCTAAAAGCTGTGTAGTCATGTTTGGTGCAGTTATCTCTTCTCTCTAAAAAGTGTTCAAATTAAGTTTTGTGGGTATTTTTAAGCAGCAAGTCAATTCAGTCAGTTCAAATATCAGTCCAATATATTGACCAACAGATATATCAGTCAATCTATAATTTCAATATATATCTGAATGTAGCAGCACTATTTGCATTCATTTTGGGACTTTAGAGATTTATTTACTCTGTCCTCTGACGGTGCCACAAGTGTACGCCACAGCTGCCCTGGTGATAGAAACATGGCTACTATTTCACAACTCTGACTTCTGCAACCATAATTCACCTCTCACATTTCACACCTTGAAGCAAAGTGGGAGAAGTGTCTTGCCAAAAGAGGAACACGATAATTGTATTCACTGTCGTAGGTGGGGAATTTAACCATTATTGACATTTACAACATTAACATTAACAATTTATTTGCAGCTACAATGAAATGTGGTTAAAAGGTGATTTGTGCTTTTTCCAACAGTATGTAGTGTGTCACAGACATAGCTCAAGTAGAACAGTGTGGTTTTCAGGTTAACCATTCATCATCTTGGTCATGGAGGTAATGCAATGATGTCCATTGCTTAGCTGTTCAGGATTTCATCATTGGTCCAGTCCTTCTCTCAGTCACAGTGTTGGTTACATGGCCGTGCACTTTTTGGGAGAGCTGGTGTCTGCGTTAGCCTTTTGTCGCACTGACTCTGAAAGATTAAAGAAAACAAAAAATGATCACATTTTAGTAAGTAAGTACATTTTATTCCACTATTATGTCTATCATTGTGCAACAGGTACTATTTCCCTGTGGGACTGCCAATGATTCATAGACATATAGGGGATGTGGGGGAGGGGGTGACGGCCTCTGAAAGTTGCGAAATTATAAACTGAATGATTAGGATGCTGGGAATGCATTGGGAAAGTGAGGAATAACTCTGGGCTGCTACAAAAGTTTCATAGTGAAGCCCTGTTTTTTATGCATTTAGTGCAGTAAAAATCAGGTACACCAACTAAAAAAGAGCTCACCCGCTAAATCATTGCGTTGTATCTCCACTAGCCCCTCGTACAGGCCTTTGATCGGGTTGTCTCCGGCCGTCACAACACCATGGAGCCAGATAAGCAGCATCCTGTGTCCATGCTCTTTGTAACTCTTCATGCCTAAATAAATGTGAAATAGAATATGGGGAATGTGGCTCAATTCAGGCAATTAAAAATGTGTTGACTAAAATGTAGTGGATAAGTACTATATATCTAAGCAGTTTCTGATTTTAGAGCTACCACCTGTAAATAGACCAGCCAACCTGTCCCTGTTGTATTCTCATATATCCCCACTAGATGCTACCTACGTTACTGCTGTGCTCTGACAAAAAATACCAGAGAGCACAAGTGAAGAGGGGGGAACAGTTTTCACATCTGCCATCTACCAAAAATCAAATAAACTTGCAGATGGCAGCTTTAATATAGCCTGATTCATCAGCCGGTGTCTGACCTCGCAGCATTAGAAATCATTCGCTCGACGGTAGGCAGGTACTTTTTTAAATTTAACCAATCGCTGCTATTTGGTCGGGACGTATGTAATGCGCTGCTAACGGGTCTAACTGGTATATTAAGCTTTTTCCAAATCCCATAGGAAGAAGGGCAATAACATCTTTCCCCTTGATAAAATTCACCAAACATTCTCTTTGTTCTGGCTTTAAATCCTCAATCTCAGGAATCGTGGCCAACACAGAATATATGTCTCTTCGCTGACTGGCTGGTGCCCGAACTCGCACTTCTGCAGTTTTTGCAAACCATCTACTGTATTCTGATTCCTGACTTAGTTGCTGGAGGGAAATGAAGCTGAGCGGAGGCACTAGGTGGCGCCAGCCTGGTTAGCTTTAATCAACAATACAAAAAAATATTTTTAATGTAGAAACTTTCAGTTACCATATTACTACCTTTATTTGATTACAGATGTTTAAAAAATGTTTAAATGTACATTATTAACAATCATTTAACTAAAAACTGAATCACTAACTAGTCGACTGCTAAAAACATTGTTTGTTGTTAGTTGCAGGCAGCCTTAGTCGTTTTCATATTTTAAATGGTAAATTGTCACATTTTGATACTGCGCTTTTCCACCTTCAAGGCACTCAGAGCGCTTTACAACAAGGAACCATTCACCCATTCACACACACACTCATACACCAGTGTGCTCAGACACTGGGGGCGAGGTAGGTTAAGTGTCTTGCCCAAGGTCACAATGACAGCATTCATCTGTGGGAGCTGGAATATCACCAGACAACCTGTGGATCAGTGGATTTGACTGCTCAACCAATAATGTTTATGTCATGAGCGGGATAATTTACATGTATTCCAATATTGTTTGTATGGCATTTTCCTTATAAAACCAAAATAAAACTTCTGAAATATTAAACCTGATTATTTACACAGAGGTCCATTATCTCACTGTATCACCAGCACTTTCTCCATTGATCTCATCATACTGTACCTGTCCACTGGTGCTCTATGGCGCGTATGTGAGCGTCAGTGAAGCACCAGTGTTGGGCCAGCAGCCTCCACTCTCCTCTGCACAGGTGCCTCGTGGCTAAAGTCCACAGCACAGAGCGAATGTGCTGTGTCTCTGAGCTCCGGTCTTGTTTGAAACTGAGAGGACGACACAGGCACGAGTCAGGGTCAGAACTCACCTGGTCCTACAGAGAAGAGAGAGGGGGAGAGAGGAGGAGGGAAAGAGTGAATAGAGAGATGTGAAATGGTGAGAGCAAGGGAGAGAGAGAAGATGGATTGTCTGGACTGACCTTCTCCCATTTGTAAAAACGATCTGCTTTGATGATCATATCCACCAGGACCACGTGGTTTCCTCTAGACGCCACCTCCACACATGATTTACCCTGCTGTTAAGATTAGACAGCAAGAAAATATGTTGAGGTAAAAAAACAAAACAAAAAAACACAATCATAGGAAAACCATTGTAAAATGCCAAAACTTACTTTGTCAGTTAGATTGAGGTTAACTCCAGAAATCAGCATCATTTCGGCCAAGTCCTGCGAGCCATTTTCAGCTGCTATGTGCAAAGCTGTCTGCTGTCTCTGTGAAGGAGTACACAGAGAAGCAACAATTGTATTTAGTTTAAGTAAACATATCAAATTTGGGAACATCCACACAGTGTGTGTGTATATATATATATATATATATATATATATATATATATATATATATATATATATTATATATATATATATATATATATATATATACATGCATTAATAAAAATAATGACTAAAAATATTTAAATGTGTGCTTTTGCCTTTATTTAATACTTATTCATGTTTTATTGTTTAGCTTTTTCGTTTTTCGTTTTTTCACATAGTTCATTTCACATGCCTGCATACTGTGGTGGCTTGTTTTTTGTGCAGAAATTGGTAAAGTGAATGTACCAAAAATAATATAATACATCAGGGGGTTTCAGAGTGAATGCCTCCCCTTAGAGTAGGTAAAAACACCTGAGCCCACTATACCAGGACTTAACCAGGACTAAACCTGGTCTAAACCAGGACTAAACCAGGACTAAACCAGGTCTAAACCAGGTCTATACCAGTCCTGTTGTAGTCCTATTTCAATCCTGTTGTAGTCCTATTTCAGTCCTGTTGTAGTCCTAGTTCAGTCCTGTTTTAATCCTAGTTCAGTCCTGGTTTTGTCCTCCTGGTTCAGTCCTGGGATCAGTCCTGGTTTAGTACTGTTTTGATTTGAGCAGTGATAAATATGGCCCAGGCCTTGGGTGTGGGTTATTGGGATACTGCTGTTCATGCCAGGGACGACCAAGGACAAAGTTGCATGTCGTCCTGTTGCATTCGGCCATGCGCTCGTCGCTCCTCATTCGCTCCGCATAGCAAAAGCAATAGGCCCTCCGCCCTGTCGGGGCTCGGGCCTAAATATTCTGATACGAGAACAATGTTCCGCTTTTTTTTGGCCGACAAACTATACATTTTCGGAAACCTCTGGCGCATTGCTACGTCATGGCAAGGGTCCCTGGTCACTACGGGCAAATCACGTCGCGCCATTTCACTTTCGGGCCACTTGGAGCATCGCTTTGTGATACTAATAGGCCCCTCGCCAGCCTCTGGCGCTCAGGCCTAATAAGTAAAATACTTGAAACATAATACTTGGATAAAGGAACAGCTACTCAGTGCGCTTAAATTACCCCTCAGGAAAAAATCAAGTTATAATGTTTGATTTAAGATGATAGAAAATAGCCGTAAAAAATAAATGAATACAGAACAGGCAGGTTCAGACTCACATTATCAGTGATGTCGAGGTTGCACCCTGCGTTGATAAGGATCCGAGCCACTTCAGTGTGATTGTGGGTCACAGCCAGGTGAAGGGGAGAGTTGTTTTGCTGTTGTAGAGAATAATTTAATACATTTTATCTTTTGCTTGTTGTAAGTTACATGTTTGATGAGTTGATATAAACTTGCATTGTCCACAGCATCAATATCGATCCCAGCCTCGATCAGTAAACTGGCTTCTCTGTCATAGCCGTGTTCTGCCACAAAGTGCAGAGCATTTCTGTTTTTCTGCAAAAATAAAAAATGAAATAAAAAATTAAAAACAGAAATAAAATTCACATCAACTCGGGCCTTGAATTAGACTCCATGTAAACACATACACTACTGGTCAGAAGTTTTAGAACACCACACTTTTTCCAGTTTTTTACTGTTTACTGTTGACCAAAATGTATTCTAAACTTTTGATTCATGAAAGTGTCTCTTCTGTCCAGTTCATCCCAAAACCAGCTCGATGGGGTTTAAGTCTGGAGACTGTGCTGGACACTCCATGTTTTCAAACTTACCATCTTGTTCTTTTTTCCTGAGGTAGTTTTGGCAGAGCTTGGACTTGTGTTTGTATCTTTTATCTTTTTTTAACCTTTGTCTGTTCAGTACTTACCTTTGTAACATTTTAAGCTCTTCATTGGACTTACACGACTTGAATTGCAATAAATAACTGGAAAAATTAGGGTGTTCTAAAACTTTGACCAGCAGTGTATGTCTCATGTACTTACAAACACTGTTCCCTAGAGGTAGGAGGAAATATATAGTATGGGACTGTTGCCATAGCAATTAACAATTCAAAAGAGTATAATAACAGTATTTACATTAGTGAGAGCGTTGAGGTTGCAGTCAGACTCTAGGAGGAGTCTCACACACAGATAGTGGCCTCCATCAGCGGCAAAGTGCAGCGCCGTCAGACCGTCCTAAAACACAACAGATAAAGGGTTATTTTTACCATTAACCTTAAAAATCTAATAAACGAAGACAGTCATAAAAAATACAAAAAAAAATCCTTGTATTGTAGAAACGTTTTCACATGTTTGGACACACTGAGAAGTCATTTTAAATTTTAAATAAATTACATTTTAATTTTCTTTCTTGGACTACTCCTGGATGAATGTTACCTGAGCAGCCACATTCTGTTCGAATCCAGAACAGACTAGAACTGGACAATAGAGGGTGAAAATCCTCTGTCCAGACTTAAGACGATACAACCAAAGATGCTAATTGATATCACGTGTCCCAGAAATGCAGAAGACATGTCCTCTCCAAAATCCTCCTAACATTTACAACAAAATATATAACTTCTTTTAACCGAGATAGTAATAGTTTGGTGCTTTGACTGTTGATTCTGTAAAATTCTGTGCTTTTTCTCAGTCCTTTATGTAGTTTTCACCCCTTCTTACAAGTAAACACATGAAGGACTGCACTGAACTGAGTCGTTTCTAAAACCCTGTGCATTGACACTCACAATGTTCCTCTCGTCCATGTCCAGCCCCATCTCCGTCAGTTTGTTCAGGACATCACTGTGGCCGTGTTTGCTGCTAAATGCAATGCTGTGTTTTCATCCTAAACAAACACAAGACAAGAAACTCAATACTGCTTCCTCTGCTCAGGTGCATACAGGTACAAAAGCTGTGTACACGTGCTCTTTGTAACTTTTCTAGGGGAGACCTGTTTCCATGGAGATGTTATTGACTTGAAACTTACACATTCTTACTGTGTGAGGACTTGCCTTCCCACTGATTTGACCTGTACTGTCACCTACTCCTCTCCATGAAGATAGATACGTTGGAATATCCCAAGTAAGCAATAACATCTTCATGGAGGCAAGCAGGTGGCAGACGAGGGCTGGGCAACTAATTTGAGAGATCATGAATTAACCCTGTCTAAACGTCAATAATATTTTTTGGGTTAAATTACACAGATTAAAGTCGGTGTTGTTTATGTTCATGAAATCCAAACTAGACTAACAAACAAGACTAAATAAAAAAAAAAAAAAAAAAAAGTGATCTTTAATATGCACACATGTTGATTTATTTGTGATCAGTTAGAAAGCTTTACAACTTTCTCACTTTAAATGAAGACTGCTCTGGAGTGAAGTGTAGTTATTCATAAATTATAACAATATCTCAGTCTTGTTAAATTGAGTCCTGTTGTGTTTACCTTGTCCTTGAGTCCATGTCTGCAGCCCATCCCGATCAGAAAGTCCACCACCTCAAGTTGGCCTTGTTCAGCAGCGAGATGCAGAGCTGTTTTTCCAGCCTGAAGAAGAAATTATTTTAGTTTTTTGGCTTTTTCTCTCTGACTATGAAAGCTGTAGGTAAGTTTGTAAAACCAACAGCAGCAGTGTTTAGAATAATGTTTGTGCTTAACTTGTGTTTATGTTAACTTAACATACTTTTTGTAGCATTTATAAATGATTAGAATGTGGGTAGATTTGAAACATAAATAATATAATACATCATAAATTGAAAAATCTTCATTTTCTACAGGAAAGCTATATTTTATTTGCCAATTCATGGTGACATAGCTCTCCAACTATGTGTTAAAGTCATTAATAAATGTATAAGACCATTGGTATGTAGCATTACAACAGAAGTAAATCAGTATTGTAGATATCACCTAAAAGACCAAAGTCTATCTAAACACACCCATAGTTTCTGACAGTTTCTTAAAGGGCCTCTGAAGTTGTGTTTTCTTTCATTAACTCATCAATGGCAAAAAGGAGAAATTCAATTTGTCAACTGGACAAACATTTTTTTGGTCGAATATGTTTCTCAGCTCATCTAAGCTGCTTCTTTGATTAACACATTTAACACGCAAACCCTGCATATTTAGGCTGAGTTCTTCTCTCAAACCGATAGCGCTCTGTTGCACCTTGTGATGTCATGTGGTAATATAGAAAGTGAAACTCCATACACCTACACTAGAATCATTTGGAAGATTTCAGCCCAGGATCTGTCCATTTCCACTGAATAAAAGATAAAAGGTAGCTGTTAAGTTAAAAACTACCACCATGTCTGTTTTTGATAAAGAAACAACATTATAACATGGCTTAAAGCTCACAAGAGTCAATTTTGGTAATATAGGACTTTTAATAGAATAATGAGTCTATTGTGTATCCATGGGTTTGAGAATAACTCCATAAAGCTGATAGTTTAAAACAAAATATTACATCTTTTGAATAGAGAAAAGTCCTCATAATGTCACCTCACCTGACTCCATGCATTAATTTAATTTAATGCAATAGAAAACCTTCCAAATAAACAAGCTGTCAATCTGAATCATTTAATTACCCCAATCTATTGTATTCTTTGTGTGTTTTGTTCATCTGTTTGCATGCATGTGTGCTTTCTTTTCGTATGTATGCACGATCGGTCATTTAACTCCTTTGTACCTTGTCTCCACAGTCGAGGTGAATTCCTTCCAGATCTTCCATAATAAACTCCAGGATGTGGATATGACCCCTCTGAGCTGCACAGTGGAGCATGCTCAGTCCATCCTAAAGCCACAAGAAGAAGAATATTGTGGTAAAATTGTGAGTTTTTTTTCTTCTATATAATCGTTTTCTTTCGTTTAATGATCTTAAATCAGAAAACTTACTTTGTTTTCACAGTTCAGCTTAGCTCCACACGACACTAAAACCTGCAGGATTTTGAGGTGACCAAACCAAGAGGCGAGCAGCAGAGGGTTCATCCCATACTAAAGAGGAAGGATACGAATATTATATGCGATAAAGTACAAATATAAATGGATATGGGCAAAAGATCGACAGTGACAAAGAGATTTTTAACCAGAAGTGGAAGAATTAAAGGTGCACTATGTGACTTTTCTGGTGAAGGTTCCGCCAGTTGCTTGTTTATATTGATATACATGCTTTAAACATTTATATTTTTTATTTAATCAAATGCAGGTGTTTATTACATGAAGAAAAGGGGCGCCTCTCCACAGCTCTAACCTGTAACTTGGCCCGGTAGCATCAACTGCTTAATAGATAGTAACTTTTCAGAAATAGCCAATATGAGCTCAGAGGTATGGCTATGTTTATCAAAAAGAAAATCAGAACAAACATTATGAAATTTTATATACACTACCAGTCAAAAGTTTTAGAACAACACACTTTTCCCAGTTTTTTACTGTTTATTATTGACCAAAACATTTTCTAAGCTTTTGATTCAGCATCCACCTTTGGCAGATATAACAGCTGAACACACTCGTGGCTCGTTCTTTTTACAAGAGAAATCAAATATTCTTCAGAAAGTTCTTCCCAAATCTGTTGCAGAAGTTCCCATAAATGTGTGGCACTTGTAGGTTGTTTGGCTTTCACTCTTCTGTCCAGTTCATCCCAAAACCAGCTCGATGGGGTTTAAGTCTGGAGACTGTGCTGGACACTCCATGTTTTCAAGCTTACCATCTTGTTCTTTTTTCCTGAGGTAGTTTTGGCAGAGCTTGGACTTGTGTTTTGTATCTTTTATCTTTTATTAACCGCTGTCTGTTCAGTACTCACCTTTGTACCATTTCAAGCTCTTCTTTGGACTTGCACGACTTGAATTCCAATAAATAACTGGAAAAATTAGGGTGTTTGAAAACGTTTGACTGATAATGTATCTGTTAAAGGGGTGGACCTCTGGAACAATTCTACAGAATACCTAAAATTGTGCACCACTCTCTTCTACTTTAAAAAGAAGTTTATATGTTTAACATTGGACAGAAATATGAGACTTAGTTTGTGCCATAGTACTTCACTAAACAGTTACTGATTTGTTTGTTTCCTCTTGCTGTATTTATGAATATGAACAGGTGTCAAGATGATGCTGTGGCAAAGGAATAAAAGGTGGGCATAAAAAGGTCAAGCTTCAGCCTACACCTTTTTGGTCTGTGTATGTTAAATATGACTGACTGTGGAAAAATTTTAGAATATAGCTGTGACGGAAATAAATTAATCAATAACGGAGACAAGCAGACCCTCCATTAGAAAAGCACTGCATGTTTAAATAATTCTAATCACTCAACTGTGTACTACAAAGATATAATAGAGATTTGTAATGGCTAAACGTACAGAATCCTGCTCATCCACATCTGTATCATGTTGAAGGAGGAATCTCATGGCGTCTTCACTTCCAGTTCCAGCCGCCCAGTGCAGAGCTTTACGGTCGACCTGGAAACAGACAAAAAAAACTGGTAAACAAGAAATAGTCAAAAACTTAAAATTGGGCTAACAAACAAACAGCTTCAACAGTCCAATAAAATATATAATCAGAAATAAAGGTCTGTGGGAGGAGCTTCATAAATTCCAATTTGCTAGAGAGGAGACTAGATATGCACAATTAAAGAAACATGCAGGTACACTACCAGTCAAAAGTTTTAGAACATGTTGATTTTTGCAGTTATTTATTGCAATTCAAGTCGTGCAAGTCCAATGAAGAGCTTGAAATGGTACAAAGGTAAATACTGAATATCCACAGGTTTAAAAAAGATAAAAAATAACAAAACACAAGTCCAAGCTCTGCCAAAACTACCTCAGAAAAAAACAAACAAGATGGTAAACTTGAAAACATGGAGTGTCCAGCACAGTCTCCAGACTTAAACCCCATCGAGCTGGTTTTGGGATGAACTGGACAGAAGAGTGAAAGTCAAACAACCTACAAGTGCCACACATTTATGGAACTTCTGCAACAGACTTGGGAAGAACTTTCTGAAGAATATCTGATGTCTATTGTAAAAAGAACGAGCCATGAGTGTGTTCAGCTGTTATATCTGCCAAAGGTGGACACTTGGATGAGTCAGAAGTTTAGAATACATTTTGGTCTATAAATTTATTCCATGAAATTGCTTATTTATTCTATGCTTTCATTTAAGAATGCAATGACACAATAAACAGTAAAAAGCTGGAAAAAAGTGTGGTTTTCTAAAACTTTTGACCGGTAGTGTATGTTTTGTTTACCTTCTTAACATTATCCTAAAAAGTAAATTTTACGTAGTCACTCCACACACTTCTGTTTGCATAGCTCTAGAACTTCTATATAATTTGTAAATTTACTCGTGTCTTATATAAACTAAACATCTTAACCTTGGTGTTTCATGTTGCATTAATTCAAACACAACTCTGAGTAAGTTTTGTTTAGGAGGACAATAAAGTGTTACTTTCCAAACATTAGCTTTCAAAAACTTCAATATGTTCAAAACTCTGCCGCCCGCCTTCCTCACCCACACCCGCTCACGAGACCATATCACCCCCGTTCTGCAACAAATCCGCTGGCTCCCCATCCCACAGCGCATCAATTTCAAGATCCTCCTGATCACTTACAAAGCTCTCCATAACCAGGCCTCTCCATACCTCACAGACCTCGTCCTGCCCCACTGACCCTTCCGCTGCCTCTGATCAGCTGACTCTAACCTCCTCACTCCCACAGATAAATTAAATTCCCAGACCGTGGGAGACCAAGCTCTCTGGAACTCCCTCCCACTTCACATCAGAAACTCACTAAAACTCAGAAACTCACAGATTCACTAAACACTAGGCAAGTAACAATACCCAAAATATCATGATATCGTATCGTCAAAGTTCTCACAATAATATCGTGGACCATCACAATATATTGAATTAAAAGTCTCTTTGCTTAAATTAGGAGTTATGGTGCAGCAATAGCTAAAGACAGAGGGAACTACATAGACCATGATCCTTTGCTCCATTTCAGTGTAGACTATAATAGATAATAGAAATAACAATTCTAAGCACTTTTAAGTCTTAGTTCTTTGGATTAAGTCTTGTCAAGGCATTTAAAGAGGAAAAAGTAGCATATTAACAGTTTTAGCTGTTTAGCCTCCACAAAATATCACAAAAAATATCGTACCATGAGATGTATATTGTGAAAATATTGTACAGAGAGATTTGGATATTGTTACATCCCTAATCGTGAGCCTCCCCACCATATCGTGAGCTTTCCCACGATATTACAATAAATATCGTACCGTGAGATGTCACAGTATGACATGTCATGTCATGTCATGTCTCGAGACTTGGATATTGTTACACCCCTACTAAACACCTTTAAAAAAGCTGCTCAAAACACACCTTTTCCTCAGAGGCTACACCCCCCACACAAGACTGCTCCTCATTACTGTTGTGTCTGTCCTGCCCTTGTTTTACTGCTATTGTGAAGTGGCTTTGAAAGTGTCTAAAATAGTAGAGGTGTAATGATATCCAAATCTCTCGGTACGATGTTTATTGCGATATGTTGTGAAGGCTGCAAACAAAACTGTTAATATGCTACTTTTTCCTCTTAAAATGCCTTGACAAGACTTAATCCAAAGAACTAAGACTCAAAAGTGCTTAGAACTGTTATTTCTTCATGTAGTCTGCACTGAAATGGAGCAAAGGATCATTTTCTATGTAGTTCCCTTTGTCTTTGCTGCACCATAACTCTTAACTTAAGCAAAGAGACTTCACAAAATATTGTGATGGTCCATGATATTATTGGGAAAACTTTGACGATACGATATCATGATATTTTGGTTATTTTTACATCCCTATAAAATAGTATAGTTACAATTATTTAAAATTTCTTTTATCTCCAGGACTCTCTTATAATTTGTGTGTTTACTCTTGCCTATATAAACTAAATATACTGAAGTACTAGACACACACTCTAACTTGCTCCCACGCCTTTCTGTACCAAGGCCAATCTCAGCCTGTTTATGCATTGCTGTTGTGGTCTGTCAGACGCTTGTTAAACTACAGATTAAGTCATTAAATCTTCATATTTACTTTATTCTTGGCTTTGGGGTCCACGCCCTTTTTGACGAGTTCTTCCATCTTCTTGGTGTCATTTCTCTTTGCAGCGTCGTGAAACTGCTTCTCTGAACACAGCACTGAACACAAACACACACACACATATGAGCTACAGTGTCACATCTGAATTGCAATGTTTACATAGAAGCTGTTTGTAACTTTTTAAACAAGTGTATCCTGGTTTGAAGTCCTGATCTTAGTCCCAGCGGATTCAAGTGAGGTGTGAAAATGCCAGAAACAATGCAATGTCTTAAAAGTGCACTATGGAACTTTTCAGGAGGAGTGTCTGACGTAGAGGTGGGCGATTATTTTTTTCCATGGGGCCACATGAGAAACAGAAAATATTGTGGAAGGCAGGGCCAAAATGCTTAACTCAATTCTGCATAATATTAATTGTATTTCTTTATAAAAAACAGTAAATAGCATTGTTTTGAGGAGCTGGTAAGAGTTTATGTTATGACTAAGCAATGAAAAAGTGAGACTGCCTTACAAAAAATTTCATAAAAAATTTAAAAAACCCTCTAAAATAAAAGCAATACAGCTTTAGTCCATGAATGAGGTAAAATTATAAAATATGTTTATTTTGTAATTCCAAATGATCTTAAACGGGCCAGTGAGAGTCAACAAAAGGGCCTGAGAGCTGGACAATGCCCAGGTCTGCTCTAGCACCTGCTTGTCTGTGGTTTGTAGAGGGATAGTTCTCCTCGATACACTGACCAAGACAAAAGAAGAAAAAAATAAAATAAAATTGGCATTTCAGCTCAAAAAGTCAAATGCACATTTATTTAATATAGAGAAAAAAAAAACAGTTACTGTTCGGGCCACACTTTCGATTCAATACTACAGTATATATTTCAAGTCGATTCATGGCTAAATCTCAGCTGTGATATTAAAAGTCTTTATTAAACCACTTCTTATGCAAAGTTGAAATGAAATACAAACATTTTAATCATCAAAACAGTGAATATGTCAAATGTGTTGCATAAACAAGATATCTTCCTCTAAACAAACAACAAAACTGTAGCGCTGTAAGAAAATAATTCAGTAAAATATACCAAAAAATACTCTTTGCGACATATCAATACAGCAGTCCACGATACTGATACTGTATCAGCACATTAAACGACACAATATGTCGGTATTTCAATATTTTTGCACACCCCAGGGTGCCTTTCCTGTAATCTAACCTGTAAAAAGCAACAACAACAACAACAAAAAATACTATAATTATCATAGTGCACCTTTAGTTAATGGAAACCAAATCTATCCCAAAAAACTAAGCAGACATTCCCAATGTAGTTAGTCAAAAAACAGTTACACTTGTTTTGTTTTTTTTGTTTTTTTTTACACACAGTGACAACATTAGAAGCATCTCGTCTATTTTGAAAAACAATTGTTATTTAGCTATTTACCGTCTGTGCAATCTCCAATAGTTTTGTCTCTAACCTAATTGATCCCTCTGTATCCACATCAGTTTTCACATGATTAATTATATATTTTATTTTAAAAATAACGTAATGTATTTTAGATAAAACATGGATTTCCCTACATTTGGTATGATTTGACCTAGACAGTGTCCAGGGTAGGTGATGATTTTATGTCTATTTTAATTATCATTGATGAAGAATAGCCTATAATTCTGTTTAAGTTGGTATTTTTAGTACTAAGCCTATTATAGTACAAACTGAGAATAGCCTATAATGTGAATGCAAAGAGTGATACGTCTACATTATTGAACCAGTACCAACCTGCTTATTAGACTACTTTAAGTAACATATATGCCCATTTATATTAAAAAATGAAAATATTTGAGTGCATTTCTCTCTCCTAATAGCCAGTGAGGAATTACAGAGTTAAAACCCGCTCTTCTTGCTTCATTATTTACGTTCATGAATGGAACAGTACAGTACACGGACATCCTGCAGCCGATGACAGACACATCCCACGAGCCTGCCCCTTTTCAACAATATCTTTTTTTACTCACAAATATCATCTTCTGAGGCCAGATCGTCCTCCATGTTTGAGTCGTTCAGAGTCGGTTCTTTCGTCTTCTCTGCACCGCCATGTCTCCTCCTCTCCTCCTGATAATTTATCTCAGGGCTAAATGTGTCAGGCGGGCAGCGCGTTAAACACACGCCGTGCCAAACCCCTCCACTGGCCGCTGGAGTAGGGAAGCTGGTTCAGTGAAGTTACAGTGGGAAAATAACACTGGGCTTCCTGTAATCCTTTCAAATTAAAATGTTATACTGTGTAGTTTTTAATTGAATTTTATCTTAAAGCTCCCATGTTACACAAAATAGATTCTGGTGAGTTTTAAAACATGTTATAATCCTGTTACTTCATCAAAAACAGACCTGGAGTTGTGTTTTGTTCAACAGGCTGGTGCCACCTAGTGCCTCCGCTCAATTTCATTTCTCTCCAGCGACTAGGTCAGGAATCAAAATACACTAGATTATTTGCAAAAACCCCGGAAGTGCAAGTTCGGGCACCAGCCAATCAGTGAAGAGACATATATTCAATGTTGGCAACGATTCCCGAGATCGAGGATTTAAAGCCGGAACAAAGAGAATGTTTGGTGAATTTTATCAAGGGGAAAGACATTATTGCCCTTCTTCCTACGGGATTTGAGAAAAGCTTAATATACCAGTTAGGCCCTTTATTGGTGCATTACATACGTCACGACCAAATAGCAGCGATTGGTTAAATAAAAAAAAGTACCCTTCTACTGTTGAGTGAACGAATTCTAACACTGTGAGGCTAGACGGTTCCTATGAAGTGAAACCAGCTAATGAATCAGATTAGTGTTTTGTTTGAGTAATCCTTTATTATTAGTCTGTCTAACTCTCCAAACCTTTAAATGTTCCACCTCGTGATGTCATGAAGTTGAAGCCTTCAAATTAACAGCTACCTTCTACTTTTTATTTAATAGATATTGGCAATTTTTGGTCTGAAATTATTCCAATGATTCTAGTGAAGGTGTATAGAATTAAAAAACAAAACAAAACAAAAAAACTTATCTACTCCCACATGACATCATAAGGTGGAGTGTTTACCCTTTGAGGGAAGAACTCAGCCTAAATCTGCAGGGTTTGAGTGTTAAACATGTGCAAATGGATCAAAACACAACTCCAGGTATGTTTTTGATAAAGAAAGAACATTATAAAAGATCAGAAAATAGTTTAATAAAGACCCTTTAATTGATTCTCTGTGGCCCATTTCTGAGACCTTGAAATGCTCAATAAATAATGTTAATCAATAGACCCAGTGGTGTTCATTAGCACAAGTCTGTGAAACAAGCTTTGATATGTATGTAACTTGTATTTCTGTGTAAATACTCAGCACTCAGATGATCAGGGAGATGGAAAGGAGTGACTTGGAGGCCCTGTCCACAAGAATAAAGCTTTAAAACGTTTAAACTCACTTCGCAAATGGATTCATTATTTATCATCGAGAGAAATATTTTAGCCCACAAAGTCAAATGCACATTGATTTAAGTAAGTAAAAAAAAAAGAAAACAAAACCCACCTAGATCACTAGGTAGTGTCTATTTAAAGGTGCACAGTGTAAATATGTCATTGCTCTGCCTGGAATGTTCCACAGTGTGACATTAAGCAGCTCTACCTTACATTTATTCATTCACAGGTGGTTTTATAGTTCAGAAATACCTAGAAAAACAGGCTTGGTTTCCATGTAGAAACGTTTAAAACAATACTGTAAAACATTCCAGAGAAAGCAATAACATTTCCATGAAAAAGTCTGAGTTACACAATGCTAGTCTGATTCATCAGCCGGTTTCACTTTGTGGAAACCGTCTGACCTCGCAGCATTAGGATTTGTTCACCTGACAGTAGGCGGGTACTTTTTTATAATTTTATAATCTCTGCTATTTGGTCTTGACGTATGTAATGCGCCCCTAACGGGCAATAACATCTTTCCCCTTGATAAAATTCACCAAACATTCTCTTTGTTCTGGCTTTAAATCCTCAGGGGTTCTTGCAAAACCATCTAGTGTATTCCGATTCCTGACCTATGCGATGGAAAGAAATGAAATTGAGTGGAGGCACTAGGTGGCACCAGCCTGACTAACACAATGCACCTTTAATGTTAGAAAGCAGTAGCCTATTTAAATGCGCACTATTTCCCTGGACATGTTTGTGCTTTGTCTGAGATGTTCCACACTATGGCATTTGGTGTTTTTATTGCTCAAAAATACGTTGAAAACCATGCATTCTTACTATGAACCTGTAACATTGCCTATGGATACTGAGGAACATTTCAGTTTCATTTCATAGTGCATTTTTCGCAATAAACTAAGCAGACATTATAGATTCCCAATTTTTATTTGGGCAATACAGGATTTGTATGAAAGAGTACAAAATGCAGTTAGTCACAAAACAGTTAAGACTTTTTTTTTTTTACATACAGTGACAACAGTCGAAGCATCTTGTCTATATAGAAAAAAAAATAATTTGAGTTTCCTCATTGTTATTTAGCTATTTACTATATGTACAATCTCCAATAGTTTTGTCTCTAACCTAATTGATCCCTCTGTATCCATATCAGTTATTCACATGATTAATTACTTACTTTATTACAAATCCTGAGCTAAATTGGTAAACATTAATAATAATTAATTGCCATAAGAAGCAAAAATAGTGGCCAAAAATGTGCAGTATCAGCAAAATCCCAAACAAATCACATGTAAAATGCATATTGTTTAGCTATGACATATTTTAAAGTTAGTTTATTATTATTATTTGACAAACAAACTTGCAGTAGCACAAGATAAAAAGCTACATTAAGGCCATGCCAACAAGTACAGATATAAAAAGTCTAAAAAAGTGACATTTCAAAATTCCAGTCATAGAATAATTTACATCTGATGCTAATTACTTTGTGTTGTTAATCTTAAGCTTTTAATTGCTCCATGCCCTCTAGTACCTTAACACAGGTAGCCCAACTCTATCCTACATTCATGTTTTAAAGACACAGTATGTAACTTTCTGGATGTTGCCCATCTCCTGCTTGATTCCATAAAAACAGAAAGTTAAAACCATACTTCGGAACATTCTCCATGGGAATAAATTTAGATTAAAATCACAATATTTCCATTGAAGCAAGCAGGCCAAGTAAGAGTCAGGTCTGTGGAGATGGAAGCCCACGTGTTTTTCGATTTTTTTCAGTGGCAATTTTCTATTTTTGGCAAGAAAATTACATACTGTGGCTTTAACTGCAAAACTGTAAAATGATCATTTAGCCTTAAAACATGATCGTCTATATCTGTCTCCCCGGATAAAAAATCAAATCAAATACTAGTTTTATGTTTAACAAGTGCTTTCCGTTCCATGGCCTGATTTGCCTTAGAAATAGCGTCCATAAAATAATGCTTACACACAACATTTGCAAATGACTGCTCATTTGTTATGGAAATCAATGGACGGAAGAACAAACTTTGCAGCAGCTGTCATCAACTTTCTCTGGGGCTGTGATGCTAACTGTAGGCACTGCTCTGTCTGAAGTGCTGTAAAACTTTAATCTGAACTTTATGTTTCCACAATCTGACCATAAAGAACTGACTTAGTTGGCAAGTGAGCTGATTTTACATATATATTACAGCGGGGTCAGCTCTATGTTCTCTCATTTCTAAAAATTAAACTCTAAGTCAAGTAATATTTATTTTTATACCACATTTAAAGGGATGATTCAGAGTCATTTCAGGGTCCTTTTCTGAATGACCTGTAAATTACACTTGTAGTCAACTGTTGCTGGAGAATAGTTTGTGTGTAATTGACGACCAAATTGAGAGAAATGTGGATAAAATCTGATGCAAATTAATGATGAAGGAAATGTGGGAACACAGAGCCTAATTTTGAAAAAAAAAAAATAAATAAAATAAATAAACCCTTAGAAATGAGGGAATATAGGGCCTAATTCTGGAAAAAAACAAACAAAACAAAACAAAAAATGTAGAAATGAGGGAACATAAGGCTGAGGGAACATAGTCATGCTCCAATTACAGTCACAAGCATGTCAACAATTTTTCACCGTTTTGTTGAAAATCAAACACCTAAACACGACCATGAATGCTTGTATCGATAATGGACTCCTGAAAATCATTGTTGTTTAAATCCATTTTGTATTTTTTTCTTGATTTTTCAGACAACCTTAAACTTATTTGGCACTGATTGCTAATGTTTGCATTGTGTCTCTATGGTAACTGGTGAACACTCTGCAAATACACATACATGTAGAACACCCCCAGTGTGATATATCGCTGCAAAGTATCAACAGGCTCTGTTCACGCTTACGTCACAAACCAGGGAAGACGTTTGGAAACATGCGATGACAACTTCCGGCGGGCTCTGTTTGCGGTAGCAAGCCAGAAAAAAATCTAAGAAAAATTAGAAAATGTCCCAGTTTCCTTCATCTCCATGCCATTGTAGCGTTCCGTTATGTTCGGCTAATCAACAATTACAACCATACTTCAGTTTTCATAATTTCTCCACTGACACATGACTCCGAGTGCACTGGGTACATGCGATTAGAAGAGAAAAGGCGCCAAATTCAAGATTATTCCAAACAGCACATACGTATGCAGTCTTCATTTTACTGCTGATTACATTTACTTCAATGGGTTTTATTACAGTCTGTCGGCGAACACAGTGTCGGGAACTACACCAGAAGTTGTCATCGCATGTGTGGCGGCTTCTTGACCAACCTTAGAGCTGCTCAGGAAGATCAGAGTGGGTCCTGGGGTCGTACTTTTGTGACACGCTTGGAGGCTTTTGTACACTAATGCATTTTGTATATTTTTACCAGACATACAGCTATCACAACGCAGCAAATAAGGTGGGTAGAACCAGTTGGAAAATAAAGGGTGAGTCTAGAGGGATAGTGGCGATTTCTTAAAAGATAAACTGATGGAAGAGTTAAGATTTGTCTTGTTTTGGAGGAAAAAAAGAAGACAAATCTTAACTCTTCCATCAATTTATTTTTTAAGAAATCGCCACTATTCCTCTTTACTCACCCTTTATTTTCCAGCTGGTTCTCTCCATCTTCTTTACTGCGCTGTGATAGCTTTATGTCTGGTAGTAAATATACAAAATTCATTCTGGATCCCAGCGTATTAGTGTGTAGAGGGTGATACCATGGGGTGACGCTGCTTGGCCACAGACAGACAGAATTTAAGGGGAAGTTGGCTGTGTGCCTGGGAGGTGTCGGTTTCTGTGGGCGGCCAGGTGGACTGCTGGACCCACATGTGTGTGCGTTTGTGCCGAGGATACTGTGCGACCACGCTGTTTTTAAAAAACTGAGGTGTGATACGGGAGAGCTGTGTGGGGCTTACGACACAGTTAACCATTGTCCCTGCTGTCCTTTAGTTTGTTCTTGTTGTTTTGTTTCTGGTCAGTTCCCTTCCCCAAACTTGTTGCCCATTTATGTTAAATAAATAACCTAAATTGCATTCCTGGCTCTGTACTTTTATTACCACGGCTATAACAAGTGTCCAAAAGCCTCCTAAGTGTGTTACAAAACTACAACACCAGGACCCACTCTGATCGTCCCAAGCGGCTATAAGGTTGGTTAAGAAGCCGCTACATTTTGTCAACAAAAATTACGGCTACAAAGCTCTAACCTTCAACCAAAAAACCAGGTAACAGGTAAGTGCACGCTTTTACACCCTTCCACAGACAGACATGCACGTGCACCTGCCCACGTAAGCCCCACCCCTTCTGCACCAAAGCAACACACCCACAGCATGTTTCCAAACGTCTTCCTGGTTTGTGACATAAGCGTGAGTTGAGCCTATTGGTGAGTTTTGCTTGTACCATTGATAAAAAAAAAAATCTCTTAAACGTCTATTAATATTTTCACCAGCTTTTCCTATGTCTATCATCCTTCGCCAGCTTAAGTTTCTTCACCTCTCTGAGCACGTGATCGGCCTTCTTCAGCTTCTCCATCGCTTCAGCCAGTAGATTTTCAGGATTTTTATCTCCTTTTGGGAGAGTCTGTGCTCGCGTCGCCCTGTTCAGGAGCTCATTCGTATCCTCCATCTCCATAGCAACCTCATTTTCTAATTTCTTCATATCTACTTCCCTATTTTCAAACCTATCTACCTTACCGATATCATCACAGGAATCCAATAAAAGATTCCCGCTTGAAAACGATCGGATTTTCTCTTGAGGTTTTAGTGGGGATGGTGGTTTCGAAATCCAAGACATATATCCTTTATTTGAGGAATTTTGTGGTTTTAAATTGATCGAAATTGCTATGCTACTACTCCTACCATCCAACTCATCTAACCCGCTGTTGCTATCTCTCATTTGCACATATTCACAAGCAGAATCTTCACTATTGTCATCTGAATGCTGTCCACTATCTACAGACTTCTCCTCGGCTTTCTTCCCATTGTCTCCTTGTGTATGACCAAGCAACGGACTCAAATTAACACTTTGCGAATCATTTAGAGACACTACCACTGTCGGCGTTTCCACTTTCGATTCCTCTGCGTCAACATTTGCGTTTTGGACACCTGATTTTGGACGGTCCTCTTGTTTAGGTGACAGTTTCGGACTTTTTTCAAGAGTTGGAGAACTATCTTTTTCGTTCTCATTTTTCTCCCCATTCTGAGTTGCTTCCTGGTTGGTTTCAGTAGATGCGGTTGGTTTCTTTGTTTTGCTTGGAGGAGTGGGAGGGTGAGCTGGGGTCTTGGCTGGGGATGGTTCTTGTGGAGTGATTATAGATAATAACGGTTTGTTCGGAGGCATAGGAGGGATTTTCTTTTTAGGATCAGGACTTGTTTCTTGGGTTTTCGTCTCACTCTTCTCCACTTCTTTAGATGGTGATGCTGGTGGCTTCACAGTCTGAAAAATACATTTTAATTGGTTTAATAAAGAAATTAAATATGTGTAGAGATACATTTTTTGTTAAAATCTCCTGGAGAAATAAATGTATTAGAACAGTGTTTCCCAAACTTTTTTCTGGGAACCCATATTTTAAAAGTCACAAACCTTCATGACCCAAGTCAATAGGCATTATTTGTAAATCACAAAATAAAGGCGGATTTGACCATTACTGATCGTGTCTCTCTGAACAATTAATTTTACTAAAGTTTTAAACAATGAAAAACAGTAACTGAACAAACAATAAAAGGATCCATAAGTCACCTATTTGGACATTAAATGTAGCCCATTTCTTTTTCTTTTCAACATTCAATTGAACCAGCAATATTGGAACAAAATTGTCAATAAAATAATTACAAAAAGATTAGAAATTATACAAAACATGTCTTAACATTTCAACATTTCTAATAAGATAGGTGGGCCTGTCTGTGTTTTTGTAGCACGTTCCAGTCCGGGGTGCAGGAGGAGAGCACAACAGGCATTTCAGGTGCAGCATCCAGTCTGTTTCTGTGCTTTGTCTTCCTTTTTGTGAGCACAAAAAAATCCCATTTCACACATATATGTAGTAGTGAAAAGAATAAGCATAGAAACATACCCTACTAAGGACACAATATTCACTCGCTCTCTCATGTGTCAGAACTGTATATTGCAGACCGACATGCAGATCGTGACAAGGAGACCCCAAAAATCTCTTGTGACCCACCCAGTCTTTGGGAAACAATGTACTAGAAGAACATAATAATATTGTTACTTATAATTATGACAAACATGCCCACTGGTCTTAACTTATCTTGACTGAATTGTGTAATCAGTTCATTGCACATTTTTAATAACACCATCCACCTCGTGATGTCATGAAGTAGTAACCTTTAGTTACCTTTCGTTCAGTAGAGATTGCCAACTGGGCTTCAATCATCCAAATGATTCTAGTGAAGGTGTGTAGAGTTTAAAAAAGCAGTGGGGGACTTCCTGTCTTACCACATGACATCACAAGGTGGAACTGAATATGCAGGTTTTGTGTGCTAAACATGTGTGAATGAAACAAAACACAACTCCAGGCCTGTTTTTGATGAGGAAACAACATTATAACAGATCAGTACATAGTGTAATATCGGTCATTTTAAAACATATTTCCTCCCTCGCTATTTGAAAATCAGGTATCCCAGACCCCTTTTTGAGAATTTAATTGAACATAGCTCAAGATATACTGTTTTTTGTTTCTTTTTGTGCTAAGATCCTAGTCCTAGTTCGATTTGCAGAGTAAATTTATGTTTTAAAGGTCAGATATGAAGCTACAGTAAACTATCCACCCATTTTTCTAACACTAACCTTTTTCTTTGACTCCTCCTCTGACTGGCTCTGATCCTGGTCTTCTGCCTCTTTGATGGTGGTCAGCGCTTTGTCCTCTGTCCTTTCACTGGAGGACGGAGAGGGGGTTGATTCTTTATGTTTCTCAGCCCCGTCCACAGCAGAAGAAGATGGTTGGGTCCCATTGGGCATCGTGGCGTTTTCAAGATCCAGGTCCAAACGCAGGATGCCATCAGAAGAAACATCTGCAACCTGAAAAACAAGAAAACAGGTAATTTATGCAGTGGTGGATAATTGTAGTGGAAACTGAAATGTAGCAAAAAGTAAACAGTACATTTATTAGGCTAATAATGCACTCGATTACAAGTTTGTGTACTGCTGTCATAATTGTATTCAGGCCAGTAGACAGGAAGGACAAAAGCATCTGTTGTCCAGGGCCCCAAGGTTTTAGGGGCCCAGAACTGGACCCTCTACTTTTTAAAAATGATGTAACAATATCCAAACCTCTCGGTACGATATTATCACGATTTGCATCTCACGGTACGATATTTACTGCAATACTTTGGAGAGGCTGATATAACTGTAGATGGAAAACTTTTTTGCTTTTAAAACTCCTTGACAAGATTTTGGTGTGAATTATTTCCATCATAATCTCAAGAATTCAAGTAAAAAACATATTTCTTCATATTTTCTGCACTGAAATCAATCATGGGATATGTAGTTCCTGATGTTTATGAGCTGCTGTTTCTATAAAAAATGCATTTAAGCAAAGGAACTTGTAATTCGGTATATTGTGACAGTCCATGATATTATTGTGAGACTTTTGATGATACAGTATCACAATATTTCAGTTATTGTTACATCCCCACTTTTTAATTTATATTAGAGGAGGGCCACGTGAAACTACTTACCCCAGGCTCCCAAATTTCTGTTGAGGAGACTGATTTTATTTAAATAAAAGTATGCATAAAAATACTACTCAGAATACTAGTTACATTTTATCACAATTTTAGAAGCTTTATACAAAACTTGATCAATCAAAAAGTCTAAAACTGAATTAAATTGGCAATCTACAAATTCTTTGAGCTCTGGCAAGTCAGAATATGAGATGCAGAGCTGTTATGCTTTTGTGGGTTGGAGCAGAGACCAGTGGTGGAAGGTAACAAAGTACAAAATCAAAAGTACAATACTTAATTTCAACTTTTAGGTATCTGTATTTTACTTAAGTAGATTTTACAGTGGATACTTTTTACTTTTACTTACTACATTTGAGAGCAAGTATCTGTGCTTTCTACTCCACTATATTTTAGATCTGAACTGAAAAGTAAAAAATACTTTTCTTTATGGTTTGAGACCTGCTAAAAAAAGCCGAGACTTATTTTTAACACAGTTTATTTGAGTTAATGTCCCAACTTTGAGCTAACCAAACACACAAAAACACAAAACAGCTAGATAAATTAAGAAATAATTTTAATCACTTAAAATCAGCTGAATGCTTTATCAGAATCTTTACATTTGATGCTTTAATAGTTCTAAAAATCTCTACAAAATACGTTTACTTTTTACTCTTAAAGTACAATTTTAAAGAGGTACTTCAATAGTTTTACTTAAGTAGATTTTTTCATGTGATACTTGTACTTGAGTAATCTTTTGCCCATGTATCTGTACTTTTACTAACAAAATTGAGTACTTGAGACAGACGTGGAGTGGGACAAATGGGACTTGTGCAGTACTCAGTGACTTCCATGATTTAAAATGTACAATAACATGGTTCGAATTATAGTCAATTAGATGTTTAGAAATCTACTCAAAAAGTCCAACTACCTCAAGAATCTCAATAAATTACAATTAACTAAGTATCTGTAAAAAGTTAAGTTACTTTCCACCCCTAAATGTATGTATAAATAATATGTATGTATGTATGAGTAATATACTGTAATTTATTTGTAGAATAAATCTTGTAGAATGCACAAAGAAGTATGAGTTCTGTTCTGTGTATTGCAAAAAAAACAACAATATTTAACATGCTTAATTTAACTTAATATAAAAGCATGTATTTGCGCTATGGGTTATATTTATTGCACACAGAAAAAAAAAAGAAAAAAAGAATTGGAAACAAAAAAACCTCCACCTGCTTGCTGTTCCATAGTTCCACAGCATGTAAAAGTTAAGCAGTGTTGTTTTAAATGAAACATGAAACACCAACCTCTTTCATGTGAATGCGAGTCGGGGGACGGCGGCCTCTGTTCCCTTTGGGTCTGGAACGAGTCACGTGCTCCAAGTTGCTGCTCTCGTCCACCTTCAGCTGTAAATGTTCAAAAGATGGGTGAGTTACACATAAATCAAATAATACCAAAAATAATAATATAAAAGTTGACTGTAAAAGTATTCACATGGCTATATTGCTGGTTTTCAGATGATTTCTTTATGTAGTTCAATGTTTTTATGTGCATTGTCCCTGATAGATAAACAAATAGACTAAACTAATCTAAACTAAACTAAAGATGCTATTGGTTTTAGTCACTAATAGAAATAATCAGGTTCAACATTTGTGAATTTACCTTTCATCATTCGGGTTGTATTATTTTGTACGGGACGGTTGATCATGACAGTAAATAAGTTCAATTCGGATTATAAAGCTGTTTTAAAGGGACAGTCTGGCATTTTGAACATAGGACCTAATTTCCTAGTGAGCCAGAGTGTTGGAAACATGTGGAGACACTTTTTTAAATATTCCATCCAGTCCTTGTATTTGCAGAGGTCGCTGGTGGTAGACTAGTGCATGTCAATGGCCATTTGTTATCCTGCCACTAAAAACAGTCTTACCCACTCCACAAAACACCCGAAGTAAATCTATTATTACGCCAGACTCTAAATGTAAATGTCTGTGTTGATAGAATTGTGTTGCTAAAACTAAACTCGCGTGTTGAGGGACTATTTTCTCAGCAGCAGTGGAATTTTACTTTCCCGGTAAGATGTGTGCTAGGTGATATCAGTCTGCCGCTGCCAAGCTTTCTATCACGAAGTACAACTCACTGCTGCTGCTCAGACATAAATCCTTCACATGCAAGGTTGGTTTTACTTCTAAAATTACTCTATCCAAATTTCTGGACTGTCCCTTTAAAGCCTCCCAGAGAATCAGTGCAGTGTGACTCATCGGTGCACATGAAAACTGAACATTTTACACAAATGAACTGACTTTATGTAATATTTAAGATACAAAACGTTACACAAATTCTCCACTGACATGAATGGGATTCCAGTTTAACCGGCAGTGCCTCCACAAAAAAACTTTAGATTTAGAGGCATTTGGAGACAAAAGTGGGTGGGGTAGAGTAAGGTGGATAGACCAATATTATCTAATACAGATGGGGGAGCAGATAAAATATTGTTCAACTGCAGATTTTTGTTGTAATATAGCATGGTCTTGGGTCTAGTCAATAATAGAAATGATCAGGTTTGATATTAGGGAATTTACCTTTCTGATATTTCACGGTAAAGTATAATTTAATCAAAAGGGAAATCTGTCTCTTGCCCCTCATCTGAGAGCAAAACATGATTACATTCTACGATCTGAAAGCCACCAATACTGTACACAGACACACAACGATGGCGCATACTAAATCCATAATACCATTACAAATAAATTTCTTACCTCATCAAATATTTTGTTCTTGGCTCGGCTGATGCCGTCACACAGAGCTTTGATCCAGGCTTCTTTCTCCTCAGCGGACGGAGCCTGAAACTTCATATCATGGACCTACGGATGGAAAAAAGTGGAAAGATCTTCATTAGAAAAGGAAATATTGCATCGTAAAGTCATGGGTAACACTTTATAAAATGGCATAGCTACAAATAATTAGCAGATGTTTATTAAAGATGGATTGTGTAACTTTTTTGGTAGAGGGTCCATCAAAGGTTTTTCTCCATGGAGATGTTATTGCTTTGTCTGGAATGTTTCACAGTATGGCATTAAAACATTTCTGTCTTCATGGAGACCAAACCAGACCAAGTTACAGGTCAGATCTGTGGAGAGGCAACCCGCTCACAGTCAGTTTTCCTACGGATTTTTGAGCTATAAAACCACCTGTGATTAAATAAATGTAATGTAGAGCTGTTTAATGTCATAGTGTGGAACATTCCAGGCAGAGAAATGACGTATCCATAGAAACAAGCAGGCGACGAAGCCCCAACCAAAAAGTTACACAGTGCACCTTTAACGATCTACTAAAAAAAATTAAGTTAATGATTAAAAAACATTTGTAAATTGTTTGTAGATGATTAATTAATTAACCGATTTCCATAACATTTGTAATTAAACATTTATGAATGTTTTATAAATTAGTAATAACACTTCATGTTACTAAATTATGATTAAACGCTTGAAGAGTTTTGAAAAATTGGCAAAAAGTAGAGAGGGAGAGATGAAATATTATTTAGTAAAACACATTTGGCTTTTGAAAACATCTCTAAACAGCACTGTAAGCCTAAAACCACTTTTTAAAATCACACTTATCTGTTTTTGCAAATGAACTCGTCACTTGTTAATACGTAATGTCTAGTACATGATTAGTTAATGGTTAATAAACAAATATACATTTGTAGATGTACCTTATCATAAAGTGTTACCAAGTCATGGCATTACTGTAGCCATAAAGTTGGGGAGTGAAGAGATTATATTAGCTACAAATATAGGTGTGTTAGTGTCAGTGTGGCTATGTCCTCCCTTCAGACAGATATAAGGCAATGTCCCACCAGTAACCTGACCAGTTTTCTTTGGCAAGTAATAGCTACAAAACTAACTTCAAGTCCTGGACATGTGGCATAAACATGGAAAATAATGAAACCGCTTGATTACAACAGAAACATTGCATTGCGCTGTTGTAAACCACTGGCCTAATTATAGTCATAAAAGTCGTCAAACTCCATCTTTTTTACTGATGTTAGATTGGCAAAGATCAGGTGAGAAAAATGTCTAAAGGGCAATACAAAGTACAAAACAAACTGTCCATTGCTTCATCAAAGAGAAAATAAGATGAAGGTATAAAATGCTATAAAAGGATTTACGAGCAGCTGGAGACGATTTTCCACAAATACAATGAAACGTCTTTTGAGCATTTTGGCCTGGAGTGTAATTTTTTTACTAAAAGAAAACTTAAAGGTGCACTGTGTGACTTTTCAAAGGCGGGGTCCACCACCTACTTAAATCCATGGAGATTTTATTGCATTTATTAAGCATTTATTCACTAAGACGATATTTTATTGCTTGAAAATGCCCACTCTCTTCTTACTGGGAGTAAAGGCACCTCTCCACAGATCTCCACGAAGACAGATAAATTTAATGCCATCCTTTGGAACATTCCTGGCAAAGCAATACAGTCTCCATGGAGATAGGCAGGGGGCAAAACCTCCACCGGAAAAGCTACACAGTGAACCTACAAAAAACTAAAATGCACTAAAGCAGGACTACGACCAAAACCAAACCAAGACTAAACCAGAAAAAAACTGTGTCGGTTTGTTTTATTTGACAAAAACATCCTGTTATTTGATTTGATTTCCAAAATAACCTTAAGAAAAAAAAAAAAAAACAACAACAACAACAACAAAACACAAAAGCAAGCTAAAAAACAAAGCATTAACCACATTTAAAATTCACATGGTATTGTGGCTGCTCGATTATGAAAAAATCACGATTATTTTGGTCAATATTGAAATCACGATTATTCAAGTGATTACTTTTTAGTTGCACAATGCATTTATTCAGCATTTCTCTCTCTCAAAAAAAACACAAAAAACAAAAAAAAAACACTTTGGTATTGATAATTTATGCAAACCTTTCAAACTGAAAATAAATATAGGCTACAAATATCTACCTTAGAGCAGTTTTGCGATGTATAAAACATAAAATGAATAAAATACTTAATACTTTGAACATGAAATAAGACATAGAAAAAAATAAATTAATCCAAAATCCAAACTATATATCTAGCTATTCTACAATGTCTATATCTAAAAAAATAAATAAATATACTTATTTATATAAAAATAAACTTTGTTAAGCTTTGTTGCAACTCGATTATTTTGTAGTTTAGAGATCGTTTGACACACAAATCGAAGTTGCGGTCAAAATTCGATTAATTGCACAGCTTTACATGGTAATATATAAATGTTGAAGCTTATTTTGTTTAATTTTGGGATTCATAAAAATACACTGAATTGAACTTTTTAAATTTGTAAGAATGTGTTTATCTCTAGAGCACCATTGTATACTAGTATATTTATCTGTACAAAATAATAATTTCCCATCAAACACCACAGGCTGACATACGTCGAGTACAGTGATGTAATCTTAAAGCCAGCTATAATGAAAGTGTGTTGTTTTGGTTGGGCTCTGGAAAAAGGGGCCGTTTCCAAGGAGACTCCAGGATACCGCCAAGAAGCACAGTTCATTCACAACCCGGGGCTCGTTTAAGAAGTTCAGAGAAAAACCTGCTAATGAGATTTGGCCACGGCGCTGTTAAGGGAGGACTGTGGAGGTTTATACAAGAAAATGGGCAAAATTTTAATCAAAATCTTAGTTGAAAAGGCACCATATGCTATATTTTTCACCACAAATTGTAAGTAAGCCTGTACCTTACCAGAGCTGCATTGCTATTCATGATTATGCATTAGGGTTGTCAAAAATATCGAAAATCAGATAATACTAGGGCCCGACCGATAAATGTTATTGGATTTGATATGATACCGATAAAAGGGGCTTTGGAGGTGCTGATAGCCGATACAACAGCTGATATATTTAGTCACTAACTAACTGTAAAACTCACAAGTCTTCACAAATAAGTGTCCTTTTAACCCTGACTCAAAATGATCGTCCATAAAAATAACAGAATCCAGCATGATGACAGCAGCTGTGTGTGTCCTCTGTGGGACAATAAAAACAAGCAGTAGTTTTGTTGCTGGCCTAAACTGCGCTCAAGTTAAGTTTTATTTATTGTTAATATCTTAGATCACACACAAGAGCATTTTAAGCGTCAGTTCCCCCTCAGATCTCATGGCTGTAAACATGACTCTGGTGGTGCGTTCAGGGGCAGTGCTACATCACAGACACAGACATACTACTCCGCTGATGAATACTGATGCGGCCCCACTTATTAGGACATTTATCTGTCTGTAAACTGGATTAAATGGACATAATCTAGAGAGTCTAAGCTTCTATCGGCCCATATCAGCGAGATTTAAGACGATAGCCGATATGTTTCCAAGTACCTTCAACACCTAATCGATACTAAAACTAGTATAGAAACTAGATACTCATTTGAGCAGGTATCGATACTAAAAAAAGTCACATTCACAGGAAAGAAATGAACCTTGAACCTGAATAGTTTTAGAATGAACTTGAGCTTTATCAGAACGAGTATAAGAGCACAGAGACTATACGCCCATGGACCACTATGGAACCTACCTGGACTGAAGAACTGAGGGATTACACAGATATAAGACCACATGATAATATAAAAGTACTATTATTTAAAGTTGAAAATCATCTAATAGAAGCACGAAACACTTTCTGAACCTTATCTGACTTGATTTCAGAAATAGACAGTTTCTGATAAAGGCTTTTGCGAAAACAAGAAGCCTGAATAATCTTTATACCAGGTGGCTCCAATCTTTTTCCTTTGGTGAGCTATCTTTATAAAACAAAAATACCAGAGAGCTACTCGTTGTAGCGGTCACAAGAAATTGAGAAAGTAGTAAGCTTTAGACATGGTCCAGTTAGATACCTATTAAACATAAGCCATGATCCATTATTGATTCAGTTATATGATTATTAAAGCAAAAGTTAGGAATTAAAATGACACATTACAATGGTAATTAATCAGATTTTAGTTATTAAGTGCAATACATATAATTCAGAAATCCCTTGGCGAGCTACTTGGAAGGGTGTGGAGAGCTACTGATGGTTCCCGAGCTACAGGCTGGAGATACCTGCTTTATACAGTATGTTGTTTCATTTCAGAAATATGGACCGTTTTTCAAGCAAAAAGTGATCATGACAATAAATTTGGCATGAAAATGGCATTAAAATAGGATGATAGCATTAAAATCGCATTTCTTTTATCAAGTCAAGTAGAAAAAGTGTCATTATACAACAATTTAAGACAGAAGGGGGGAAACAACTTTTTCTCTTTTCGGGTGGGGGCCGTTTTGGATTTTATGCATGCCGGCCACTAGGTGGTCATCCCAACTTGTATCCATGGATTTTTAAAAACCTTAGGCCCATATTTAACACCCTGCCAAAAATCTAAAACTTTTCCAGAAGTGCACAAATATTTCACAAATTCCCTCCCAAATATTGCAATCATTACTGTGTATGTGTATTCCTTGGTATTGAAATTAAGTTTGAAATTTTAGTATCGTGACAACACTATTATGTATTTATATATTTTAAAACTACTATTTTATATTAGTAGTTTGTTAGTATATCACTTTACATGATTGAAAAGCCTCTCGAAGCTGCACAATGTAGTCATTCATTTATGTCATGCCTGCCAATGTCATTATATTTTAGCTGAGAATTACAGCTGTTAAATTTTTTATACAATGCATGTACAGGATTAACACAGGGCAGTGTTATAGAGGTTAAATTAAATTTATATACTGCATATCATATCATGCTCTACTTTATATTAGATTCTATGTCCACCACAGTGCACTAAGCAACCACTGAAACCTTCACCACAAACAGGAAATCAGTCATCACCTCAGCTCAGCAGTCTAAACCCATCTGAAAATACTGTTCAACTCATCCTTCACTGAGTCTACCTGTCCAACACTGACCAATAATATGGAAGATAAAGTTAAAGGTGCACTGTGTAACTTTCTGGAGGAGGGTCTGTCAAATGCTTTTCTCTATGGAGATGTTATTGTTTTGTCTGGAATGTTTCAAACAACTGTATATTTATTCAGTTACAGGTGTTATTTGTTTTATTTTTCAAGACTACCGTAAAAACATCCTCATTGTGAGCAAGTCCTCTTCTCCACAGATCTGACCTGTAACACGGCCTGGTAACGTGGCCTGCTTGTCTCAACATGGAGTCGAAATGGTGGATCCTCTACCCGAAAAGTTACACAGTGCACCTTTAAACTCAGAAATCATCATTATTACTGTATAAAAAAGCTCACGTTGTTTAATGTGTAAAGCTACATCTACAGTAGCTGTTACTGCATGGTGCTACTCCTGGCCACAAACCTATCACCAGACGATCAACCATTGCAATGTGTTAACTTTGCCCCTGCTTACAAACGCTTATACATGGCAACAAATGTCAGTGAAAAGAAATATGGTAACACTTTATAATAAGGCATACCTACTAATCACTTGTAAATGTTTATTAACTGTTAACTAATAATTTACAAAAAAATATCTACCAAGTGTTTAATCATCATTTACAAACTAAGATAAAAAGTTGTATACAGGTACTACAGCGAGCGTGTCAGTGTACATGTGCCTCGAGTTTTGTTCTTGATTCTTAATTTTTAAACATTTAAAACTCATCCTTCACTGAGTCTACCTGTCCAACACTGACAAATAATATGGAAGATAAAGTTAAAGGTGCACTGTGTAACTTTCTGGAGGAGGGTCTGTCAAATGCTTTTCTCTATGGAGATGTTATTGTTTTGTCTGGAATGTTTCAAACAACTGTATATTTATTCAGTTACAGGTGTTATTTGTTTTATTTTTCAAGACTACCGTAAAAACATCCTCATTGTGAGCAAGTCCTCTTCTCCACAGATCTGACCTGTAACACGGCCTGGTAACGTGGCCTGCTTGTCTCAACATGGAGTCGAAATGGTGGATCCTCTACCCGAAAAGTTACACAGTGCACCTTTAAACTCAGAAATCATCATTATTACTGTATAAAAAAGCTCACGTTGTTTAATGTGTAAAGCTACATCTACAGTAGCTGTTACTGCATGGTGCTACTCCTGGCCACAAACCTATCACCAGACGATCAACCATTGCAATGTGTTAACTTTGCCCCTGCTTACAAACGCTTATACATGGCAACAAATGTCAGTGAAAAGAAATATGGTAACACTTTATAATAAGGCATACCTACTAATCACTTGTAAATGTTTATTAACTGTTAACTAATAATTTACTAAAAAATATCTACCAAGTGTTTAATCATCATTTACAAACTAAGATAAAAAGTTGTATACAGGTACTACAGCGAGCGTGTCAGTGTACATGTGCCTCGAGTTTTGTTCTTGATTCTTAATTTTTAAACATTTATGTTATGGGATTATTGTCCATGTTCTTAAACGCATGAAGGGATCTTAATAATGAGATCCAGTTCACCTTGTTCTGAGCTTTGGGCGATCGAAGGAGGACCAATCTGTGCTTCTTCTTGAATCCAGTCTTCAGTTCGTGACATTTGTCGTAGTTTTCCAAATCCACTCGCTCCAGGCAATTCTTCTGGTCCTAAAAGACAAGACATATCAGACTAATGTCTAACTTGAGTAACAGAGCTTCAGACACAGCATTGCCTGTAGTTAGCTTCACCATCTGGCGTATTTTGGTGGCATTAGCTGCAGTATAAAGTATCAATTGCTGGATCTCCAATGACATCTCAACATTCTAGAAGCCAATTATATTTAGTAAAAATGGGGCAGCTAAAGTACTAATTGTGTGCATTGTGTCACTATTGTAACCACTGTACATTCCACCATAGACACCCATGCAGTACGCCTTCCCCCAGCATGATGTCACCGCAAAACAGACAGTACCTCGTTCTCATAGACCAGGATCTCGGTCCTGTCCACGGTGACGTAGCGATCTTTGTAGCTCAGCAGGATTCGACCGTGGGCCTTCTTCATCCAGCCGGACTTTCCCTGCTGGAACCCGGGGCTGGTCTTAGGGGTTGTGTCCTCTTTCTGCAGAGACAAAAAGGAAGGAAGTCACACTCACGTCACACTTTCAGTTTAGAGATTAGATTTACAGACATAAAACAGTTAAGAGTTAAATTTGCATGCATTTGGCTTTTGTGTGTAACATGATGCAGTTAATATTCAAAAGGAAATAAGGTTAGAAGGGCGAAAGGTCCCATTCCACAAAACTGACTGTGGTGACATTTGACACACGTTAGAATGTTCTTACTTCCTTAAAAACATACCTGGAATTGTGTTTTGTTTCATTCACACATGTCTGAGTAATCCTTTATTATTACACATTTATTATTACAGCTACCTTTTACCTTTACCTCACTAGAGATGGGCAAAACCAGGGCTGAAATTAACCAAATTTAAAACACAGTGAAGCATTTCCTGTATGACCACATGACGTTACGAGGTGGTTACAAGGAGTGTATTTTAGTTTAAGATAAGAACTCAGACTAAATATGCAGAATTTGTGTGTTAAACAAGTGTGAATGAAACAAAACAAAACTCCAAGTATGCTTGAGATAAGAAAAGAACATTATAACATAGATGAGAATCGCATAATAGGGGCCCCTTAAGGTACCTTTCATTGTTCTTGTGGCTAAATTAGTTGCATTTGAATAGAGCTTGGGTTTGCATACACAAATCTGTATAATTGTAGTTTATTTGACTGAAAGTCTCTTCCTGTTTTTGCTGCTTATTTTGAATGCCGTACCATTTATATTTTTGCTCTTTGCTATAATATTGTAATGTGTGAGCTATTCTGCCCAAGTAACGGAGGGTCCGTCAAATATTTTTCTTTCTATCTTCATGGAGACCAGACCAAGTTATGGGTCAGATCTGCGAAGAGGCCCGCTCAGTCAGAAAGCCTATTTTTCTAGGTACTTTTGAGATATAAAACCACCTGTAATTTAATAAATGTAAGGTAGAGCTGTTTAATGTTATACTGTGGAACATTTCAGGGAGAGCAATGACATCTATAGAAACAAGCAAGTTACCAAAAAGTTACACCGTGCACCTTTAAGCCTGTCACACCTCAGAATTGTTATTTAGCCGATTGGAGATTTTAAGACTCTAAATACTAAAGTTAGTGTTCAAAAGTATTGACCCTAAAATGTGATAACTGTATTTATGAGTGTTGACTCAGAAGGTTTTGGGGTTGCTCTTATGTTTACATTATTATTTGTTTTTGTTTGACACATCTGGCCACAAATGTAAAGATATTGACACTTGTATTATAAAGCTGCTTCTATACACTGTCAAGAGCAGCTTTCAGTAGGATTACACTTTTAAAGGGCCTGTTATTACGCCATTTCCTGATCTATGTTTTCTTGTCCTTATCACAAACATATCTGGAGTTGTGTGTTGTCTAATTCACACATGTTTAACAAACAAATCTTAAGGCGAAGTTCTTCTCTCAAACAGGAAACACTCTGTTCCACCTTGTGATGTGATGTGGTCATACAGAAATGGGTCCCCTGAGCTTTTAAACTCCATACACCTTCACTAGAATCATTTGGATAATTTCAGCCCTGGAACTGCTATGTTACAAGGTAGAACAGAGCAAGCGTTACTTAAAGATGTGTGAATGAAACAAAACACAACTTCAGGTATGTTTTTGATGAAATAACATTCTTAACGATCACAAGAGTCAATTTTGCGTAATACAGGAGGACTTTTAACATGCCAGGATTATTCAACACCAAAGTTACTCACTACGAATAATGAAAAGCAAATATTTATGTTTTTAGTTCACAAAATGAGCAAAAAAAAACATATAAACTGGAGCTGCGAATCAGAGGGTTACTCATGATTCAATACGATACACTATATATGGCTCATGATACGATATTATCACGGTATGGCGATATAATTGGCGATAATTGACACAATACTCTGTGATATATTACTGTTTTTTAAGAACCAATACATTTTAGCATCAACGTTTCTTTGCTAAACCCCTATGTGTGCAAATTTCATATGAAATACCTCTATTTTAATCATCAAATCAAGTAAATGAGTTTCCTTCCACTAAATAAGGAACTAAATTGTAGTGCAGTAAAAAAAAAAAAAAAAAGCTCCATGATACACACAAAAAAGCAGCCCACAATAACAATACCATATCATCAAATTTTGTATCATGATATATCGGTATTTAGATATTTTTGCACATCCCTTAAACAAACTAGTGACAAGGGGCCTATGATTATGTCTTTTATGTCTCTCGCTGGACAATGTCTTTGGCCATAAAAGGTAAGGCAGAGTAAATAGAGAAGCTGAAAATAACACATAGGAACTGAAACTGTAAGTCTTCATAAAGGAACAACGCCGTGAGTGACCCTGTGCTTAACTTCTGCACCAGTTCAAGCCTAATTATACATGTGAAAGACAAAGCAATTTGCATATTAAGGAGGTTAGCGTTGACTGTGTTGGCCCCAGTCTGCTCTCTGCATTTGATCCACTCTTCATTGCTACAGTGGGGTAGCAAAGAAGGACGGGTCAAATCAGGAACAGTGGCCAACTGCAAAATAAGAGTGAAAATATTAGAGAATAAATTAATAAACAGGTTATTTTTATACGTCTTTGAGTATAATCATTTGGTAATCTGAAATAAATGTGCAAATGTCTCTAAAGTTTGTCTCATTGCAGCCAAAGAAACTAACTACAAACTAACTAGGGACTGTAAAATTGCTCACAAAAGTGCAGAAATACTATTTTGTACTTGTATGAATATTTTTAAAAATATAAACAATACATAACTATTATATAAATGTTACAAATCTTCAAAACTATACAGATAGACCGACTACTGGGCCGTAGTTGCAGTATTTAGTATATGGGATATAGACCTTAAATCTCCAGGAGAGGTTGATATTTTGTGCCTCAAAATAAGAATACAATTTTATTTGAGCACTTCTGTGTGACGAGGATACTGCACAAAATATGACTACACTGCTCTTATTATCCAGTTTGTAGTAAAAGTAGGCCACGGAGAAGTTTGTACTAAATTCAAATTAGATCATTTGGGAAAAAATAATTAAAATTGTCCCAAAATATCAAAAAATAACTGCAGAGCTTATTGGCCTTCAGCTCCTTTGGATTCTAAACAATTAGTGTCAGCATCAGTCATAAAAAAACAAAAAACAAAACATATTGGTCGATCTCTGAAAACATTTACAATATTATCAATAATTCAATTAGTTGTATCTAGACTGCAGACGTTTTAGCCCAGTGTGCATGTTTTAGATTCATGGAAGAAACCAGAAATTTATTTATATTTGGTTTTAGTTATTTACAAACATCTCTTACTTTGTGAATGAATTACTTTGACGCATATTATAACACGTCGATATCATAAAAGTAAAATGTTTTATATCATAATTTCAGCTGTTTAAAACCTCATATTTTCATTGAGGCGTGACTAAATGTGTCTTTTGCAGGTGTCTGCAACTTTCCCAGCCTTTGTTTTCGTTGGAGTCATTTCCACAGGATATACAGTGTTTTAGGTGGGAGGTCATCGCTGTGTTTTTCCCTTTCTCTATTAAAGGGGCCGCATCAATGTTTCATTTAAACTGTTTTATAATAGTGATTTTTTATTACAGTAAGTACTTATTTTGGATTTACACTGAATTACACAGTGCAGAATCGATGCAGTGATTGACGCTGAACGTAATATTGTTATTTTTCTGTGACAATGGCAATAAAATCTTGAATCTTGTATAATGTTTAATGAAAATGTGTACAGCTGGGAAACAAAATGTGTTTGTATTTGCCAGGGCTACAACAAACGATTATTTGTATGAGTTTGTATAGTCCAGATAACAGCATTTTTATAGTCAACTAGTCACGTATTTGTTTTTGCTTTTACTCAGAACATATTTTATCAACAATATGTCAAACTAATTACAATACAATGACAGAATGGGCAGCTGTAAGCAGGGAGAGAGCCAAAGAGACAAAAGAGAAGGAAATGTGTAAAAACAAAAGAGATAGTGATAAGGAAATTTGAGACACACCCTTTAGTCCGGACCAAACTGGACTTTTAGAGTTTTGGAGGAAAAAAAAAAACATTGGTGAGGCTCAGGGGCGGGACGAGACACAATTTCCACAAGACAAGATGAGACATAGGAATTTCGAGAAATGTGGCACAATTTTGGCCTCAATATTTTGTTTTTGAAAGAAAACAAAACAGAACTCCAGGAATGTTTTTGATGAGGAAACAGCATTATAACCAAGATAAATATTATTCTTCATTGTTTTATGCTGCACCATGACACCAAAACAAGTTCCTAGTTTGCGATATTTATCAATGACAATGTCAACAAAACTTATTTTACCTCAGCTACTATACCAGAACTAAGTGTTAAATGTAGCAATGAAACAACTACATCGTTTTTTTAAAGTAAATAAATACAAGACAAGACTTTTAATGATAATATGACAGCTCTTTTGGTGTGAACTTTTGGAAAGGGATCTCATTTTAAAGAACCAAATCTTTTTTTATGCATTTTTACACTGATTAATGCTGAACCAACACAAAAATCAGCACAGAAGCAGAGCAGGCAACATATTATAAAACAGTTTTTACGTTTTATTTAGCTTATAAATGCATAATTTCAAAGGGTAAACACACTCCCACTTTCAGTTCGAACCATATTCTGTGTAGTAAATGGGCATAGCTAACCTGCTTGCTGCCACGTCCAAAATAGGAAGTGAACATGGGCACGCTTTCAGCTCCATCGACTTCTTTAATCCGCTTTACATTGAAAAACTGTCACCTCTCTCTGTGACCGCTGCACTGAGCCTCGTCATTTGGCATTAAAATGTTTGTATTAACTCGCTCTACATGATCCTGGAGGTTTTATTTCACAATTTTGCCCATAAATCAAAATATGAAAAATGATAACAAACCAACAAATAAGGCGCCTTCTTTCTCAGAGGTCTAGGCTAGTGTTAGCAACAGGTTTGATTGCAGGGATGTGCAAAAATATTGAAAT